AAAGAAAATTTCTGACTAAATTAAAAATATTATTTTGGTAAATAAAATATTTATTTTGTATTTCAAAAATTTATTTTGGTAATTGAAGTGTAAATGGGTCATCTGAATGCTTGTCTTGCTATTAAGCTGCAATATAATGTCAGACAGAAAGTTAGACTTATCTGTCCCCCAATTCAGTCATGGTTTTGTAGCTTGCTCAACAAATTCTTCTCTTTACCTTATACCATGGTGTCATAAAGACAATCCTTGGTTTTGCTTATAAAGTAATTTCCCCACTCTAACAGAAATTTTGGATAAACAAATGAAAGTGCTGTGAAATTTTTAGAAGTACAACATAGAAAACAATTTCAAGTAACTTTTTCTTTGTCTGTATTTGCAAACCCACAGTGCAGCATAAACTACATTTCAAATATTAAAAGACATAAAAGAATAAGCTGTCTTAAATTATTGAACTTTGACCTCAGGGAGAAAATGATGAGCCCATTTAGCCTGCTGAGACAGGAGAGGAAAGCAAAAGAGAAAGAGAGGAAAAGGGAGGAAAAAGGAAATCCATGTATGTGCCAGTATTTTAGGCATTTTCTAGATCTCAGGGAAAAATTAACTATACTATTTGCATTTACATAGAACTTTTTCCTCAAGCACTGCCACAAATATTTCTCTTAACCCACAATAACCTGGAAAGTAGATTGGTCTAATATTACTTTCCATAGATAAGGAAACTGAATAATTATAAAAACAAGTGGCTTCCTCAGAGAACTAGAGTTATTTAGTAGCTAAGATAGCAACATAGTCCAGATGTCTTGATTTTTAGACTCCTCAGGCAATTCTGCCTCATGCAAATAGATGAGAGAGAATAGCAAGAATAGAGAGAAAAAGTGATAGTGAATTTTTAGTACCTAAGTCACCAATCCAGAGGAATGATATGGATAATAACAGCCATTTGTAATTGATATTTTATAATTATTTATAAATATTAGCATGTTTTATATTCCCTGACTTTTGAATTGAAGCCACATGAGACATCTGGAAGTGAAAAGTTTTCTTATTCCACTCTTTGACTCATTTGACATTAAAAAAATATTTTATTCTAAATTGAGAATGGACATCTTTGAGAGTAATGAAACTCAGTAATTTGATCAGAATTTGCTATTTGTTTTTCCTTGGCCATAGGGGAGCTAAGTAAGTAGGAGACCTTCAACAGTCCTTTCTTGGTAAATGAACCTGAGTGTGCTGGTAGGACTTTAAACCTCGAATCATTTCGTCTTCTGCTCTTTGGGTCATTACAAGGCTTATTTTTTGATAATATTAAAAAATGATTAATTGGATGATGGTTGAAAGGATCAGAAAGGAACCCTATTCAGTGTTCATTATCCTATGTTGAATGGATTTTTGGCAGAAAATGTAAATGAGTCATAGCAGTCATGCTTGTAGAAGTATGCCTTGAGTCCTACCAGCTGAGCTGTCAGAATGCTGGAAGGAAATCTCCATTGAGGACTGGTATTCTCTGCCAAACAGTAACATGAAGTTCAGAACACAGTCAGCTTCAATATTATCATATATAGAAGTTTGTCTGTATGAACATTCATATGAAGGCACTTTTTTCCGCTACTGGTAATGTTTTCTTCTTTTATTTCTTTGAAATAAGAATTAGGAGGCTTTATTGCAAACTGGATTTTGAAAATTATGTATGTGTTATGTGTATGGTCTGTGTATTTCAACTCAAATCTGCCCTTTTTTCAGGTTAAGTTGATTTTTTTTTTGTGGGGGGGCTTATGGACAGATAAAATTAGATAAGACAGAACTTGGTTCTAACCTTAGGACAACTGTGCTGTTGTCAGCAATTATATTAATAGAGATTTCATTGATTGATTGATTGATTGATTGAGATGGAGTCTCGCTCTGTCGCCCAGGCTGGAGTGCAATGGCGCGATCTCGGCTCACTGCAACTTCCGCCTCCCGGATTCACGCCATTCTCCTGCCTCAGCCTCCCAAGTAGCTGGGACTACAGGTGCCAGCCACCACGCCCGGCTAATTTTTTTTGTTCGTATTTTTAGTAGAGACGGGATTTCCCCGTGTTAGCCAGGACGGTCTCCATCTCCTAACCTCATTTGGCCTCCCAAAGTGCAGGGATTACAGGCATGAGCCACCACGCCCGGCCAAATAGAGATATTTTTATATGTACTATTTGTTGTGACATGCTCAGAGAGACCTTTAAGAACAGTATTTTATTCTTTCTTATACCATCTATTTGAGATAAGCAGAAGAGGAATTAGAATAAAGTATAAGAATTATAGCTAAACCATGATAATTTTTACAGGCAGAAGTTACAGGTCTTTTGTATTCTCTGAATGTATGCAACTATTATCTGTGGCAAATACTTTATAACTAGAATTGTGAGTTATTAAGAAATTATCCTGAAAGATCAGTGTAGGTGCAAATATTCAGTCATTGAAGAAATGTGATGAGGACAAGAAATACAGTGCTGTGGTTAATACCTAGATTTTGGTTTGTTTGTTTGTAGGACCTTTTCTCCATGAGGAACAGCATCTAGAACACTGTGCAGTTAGGGACCTTGCCCATGATTCCACAGCTGCCAAGTGGTAGGATCAGGATTTGAGCTGAATACAAAGACGATGTGGAGGAACAAGTGTAATATCCTTCCACTTGGAAGGCCTCCTTAAACTTATTGTATGCAGTAATCATGTCGTGAGTGGTTAGACGCCAGGGCAACATGTTAGAACTGTAATGGACGTGTGATTCTTGTCCTCATGGAGCTTATGGTTTTCTGCATAGTTATTTCATAACATGTGACACTGTAACATCTGACACCAGAATCCATTTTCAACTTAGTTCAGAGAACTTTCCAGTGATTGACATAGTTTAGCATGTCTTATGGAGGATGTTTTTAATATGAAATAACCTGAAGACAGCTTCCAGGTAATCCCACTATTTACTTGGTTCTGCTTTATAGTAACTGTCCTCCAATCTTGTCAGTTATTCCAGTCACAGGTTGAAGAGTGTTAGTTGATTGTGTGTATGAAAGTTGACCAGAATTAGTCTTTGGAGGGTTTAATGCAGTAACTGAGAGTCAGAGGTTCAATTCGTTAAATATGCCCAGAGGTTTATAAAATTTACATGCCATATGTGTGTCCAGAGAGTGCTCCTGGATGTATGGTTTGTTTGTGAAATGCCAAAGCAAACATTTCATTACCATAGGTGCTTAGCAATTAATAATGTTGAGGTTTGTTCCCAAATTACAGTGTTGTAATTAGACTAGGGCTATTGAAAATCAAAGGCAGTCTGTCAGAAGTTCTTTTGTGTGTGTTTAATATTTTTCTTCTTTGGTAAATTTCCAGTAATTAACATTTTCAACTCATTTTTTTCTACTTGCTTTGATTCACTCTGTGACATTGTTAGGAAAATTAATTAATGTAGAGAAATGTAAAAATGGTAGCCAGTGAACTAGTTTTCTATATGAATTATGTGAAGAAATTTTATGGATGTTTATTCGGACCATGACAGACTAAATATGAATTTTGGTCATCCATTTTTAAGTACGACTTTCATATTTTTCAAGAGATCCCTCTCTCAATTAATATTGTTTGGGTCTTCTTCAAAATCTTGATAATAGAAAGGGTTTATAAGATACTTATATAGGCATGTATGTATATGTACACACATATATATCATGTTTATCTTTAGGAAGGTATAATTTCAAGATTACATTGTAAATGACAGCATCCAAAAGTGTCAAAGAGCAAAGAAAAAAATTAAAAGTAGAAATGTATCTTTACCAAATGTGGAAATTCTTGTGTACACGTGATATTATCATTCTTTAATACATGTTTTATGTTGAGGATGATGATAAAGTAAGTACTAGTAGGGAAAATGAGAATATTTAGAATATGTATTTGATAACTGCTTTAGTATTAAATATGATAATTATAAATGTGATTTATAATAATAGGCTTAAATTTTACATACCGAGTGGCATACATGAACGTATATACTTAATTATAGCTATTTTTACTAAGAAAAATAATGTAGAAACATGTATGCTTTCAAATGTTTCTACTTTAAGAATTAATATTCTTTGATAAGCAATTGTCATTGCTAGAAAATGGCTAGGGGCCTGTTAGTGGCTATAAGGCAATAATGAAATTATTTCTGTTTAATTCCTATTGAGGAAATATTTTATTGACTTCCAAGACATTGTCATAATGTAGACACAGATTTTTGTCCTGTAGAGAGATACATAGTATTTTTGTTTCATAAATGAAGTAAAGGAGGTAGATAAACCTGAGTAAATAACAGAACCAAGACCTACCAGTCTTAGCTGTTACAGCATTGTAATTGCTATGTTGCATTTTTTTTCAAAGCAGAGACAAAAAACACTAAATTATTGAACCCTGTGATAAACAATGCAATTAGCAAGAAGTTAGGAATATGATACAACTTATCAATAAGAAATAACCACAACACGTAGACCTTGTGTTAATCTTTACTTTTGAGTAAGACTATAGTAAGGTTATTTTGTTATAAATATTTGCATCATACATATGTAACCATCCTGTAGATGATTAATAAATAAAATGAAAGTTTTCTACTTAGTGGTTTGCCTAAGGATGTTATGATAATTCTAACATCATTGTCTTGCTCTGTTAGGGATTAACAGGACCTGATGGATCCCCTGGCTCCGTTGGGCCAAAGGGACAAAAAGTAAGTTAGCCATCTGGTATTAATTGCTAGTACGAAAATGCGGCAGTATATTTTTATTGTAGTGTTTGCAAGCCAACTAACATTAAGTGATGAAGCATCTAAAATGCACTTGTTCAACTAAAATTGCGTTTAAAAACACTATGATGTGGAATACTATGCAGCCATAAAAAGGAATAAGATCATGTCCTTTGCAGGGACATGGATGGAGCTAGAAGCCATTATTTTCAGCAAACTAATGCAGAACAGAAAACCAAATACTGCATGTTCTCACTTATAAGGGGGAACTGAATAAAAAGAACACGTGGACACATGGAGGGGAACAACACACACAGGGACCTGTCAGAAAATAGAGGGTGGGTGGAGGGAGAGCATCAGGAAGACTAGCCAATGGATGCTAGGCTTAATACCTGGGCGATGGGGTTGATCTGTGCAGCAAACCACCATGGTACCTGTTTACCTATGTAACAAACCTGCATATCCTGTACATGTACCCCTGAACATAAAAGTTGGAAATTAAAAAAAAATAAAAACACCATAATGGGGTGTTTTAATGCTTTCAATATTTATGCAGTTTTCATGATTACATATTCATGTTATGAAAGGTCAGTACAATGAAACTATTTTTATTTCTAGGGAGAACCTGGTGTGCCTGGATCTCGTGGATTTCCAGTAAGTAAAAGTAAAGCTACAGAATTGAAAATGTCTTATCTTTAGGTAAAATTCTGCCACTGTGAAATCTTTAGGTGTAGTTTTCTGCATAATATACATGACAAATAAGTTGATGACATCTGGTATGGTAAGCATTCCTACTGTGAGTGGAAAAATTTTAGAGAAGTTTGAATGTACAATAGAAAATATCTATTCTATTTGTAGGTGGTATTTTCCAGTAAACAATTCCCTCTTTACCTACAATGATAGAAAACACTTCTTGCATAACAAGAGCAAATCTAAGTATTCAATGTTTAGACCATGGTATCACACCACATTCTTCACAGCTGGTTTTATCTCTAAGGAAATATCAACTAAACAGATATTATCACTTGCCTGATTCTTTGACTAGTCTTTTTCTATATTTGCACAGTGTGGCAGGTTTGTGTTATTTGTATATATAAGAGGACTAGGTTCTTAGGCTGCTTTTCCTATCTACTGTGCTCTTTGTTCCACTTTTACTCTTGTCATTAATCTGTATTTTTTCTTCTGTTTTCCTATTTGTGCTATTTTCTTTACCATATTTCAACATGTCATCTTTTCTGTTATAAGCCTATTTTCAGAAGTGAACAGCTTGTTGGCCTTTCGCCCATATTTTTCAACTCAGCTCTTAATCTCAACATCTTACAGAGATGCCTTTTTTGTTTAGTGAAATTTGTTGAACATCTAGGTTTCTGATAATGAAATAACTTATTGATGACTTTGGTGTTTTCAAGCATAACACTTATTTCCTGAATTGGCCTATGTATTAAAGTGTTCAAACTGGAGTCATTTTTCCAGCAATGCCTTTTAAAATCCCACCGATTATTAAAACATACTGGCCATGTGAAGTTCTTGCTTGTTTTGCCTGCCCAACTAATTAGAAATAATAATATCATTATCAGTGCATTGATTCCATGGGATGCTTGGTATATGCATATTTTAGAAAAGCAAGTCTGGAATGAAAAGCTAACATGAATATCATATCACAGACAGCTGTGAATAAAAGCTATTCTAGCCAAAGTAGGAGAAAAAAGAATAATGAGAAATCCCAAGGGGAAAAAATTGAACTTGGAAATTAAAGAGAGAGAATAGAGATCTAGGCGGCTGATATTCAGTTTTAATTTCAACAAGCATATTATTAGATTTTGTTATATGCTAGGCCCTGTGCTAGGAGTTGGGGCTAGGAAGATGAATAAGATGTGGTTCAGTCCTTGGTTGTATAAAGTTTGGTGTTGCTAAAGAGATATAAATGTGAATAATAAAATAGAATGACTAGCTTAAAAATCAGATATAACATATTAAATTAGCGTCCCATTGTAGGTTACTTCAGGAGTGACACCATTTTATTTTCAATATCTACTGGATTTAGTGTCTGAAAATATAGCCTAACCTTTCGAAAGGGAGGTGTGTTTCTGACCCTTTTTTGTCCCTGCCTCTCTGTGCTGAAAGTTTGTTTGGGGAACTTCTAAACATAATTTCTTGTAGATTGTAGAACTAGAATGCTTTTAATGTAGGTTTCCTATAAAACGCTAAGAATAAAATCTGTAAACTCTCCCGTTGTGGTGCACCTCTTTGTGAGTTATGGTAAGTTCTCCTGAGGGCAGGCATGGAAGGCTTCTTTACTCTGATTTCCTTAAAAAAAAATTTGGAAAAATCTCAGTTAGCGTAGACATCAAAGGAATGTTTGAGGAGCTGAAATAAGCTTCTGCTTCCTTTAGAAGCAGAGCCGTGTTTGCTTTTCTTTATTCAGTACTTTCTTTAGAATGAGCATCATTTTTAGTAATAGAGTTTATGGTTTATTTTAGCTGAGTTATGTCTACATTCATATTTATACTAAGTATAAACATCATGCTGTAAACATTTTTATTGTACTCTTTTAGGGCCGTGGTATTCCTGGACCCCCTGTAAGTATCACTTCATCATTTATTTTTACACAGTCTATAAAAATGTCCTATTTCTCAAATCCCCACCTTATTCTCCTACTAACAGTCTACTCAGCGGTGTTGATAGTGTTCTACCTACAAGATCTTGGGTGGTTACTAAGGATAACACTCTTATTCTGCTAAACAAAACGCTTATTAATTTAGGAAATTTCTGCTTTGTCTTAAATAATTGAAGTTTGGTCAAATGAGTGATTGTGTCACTGGAAACCAAAGCTAATATAGAAATGTAATTCTATTATTTATCATATTTGATATCATGTATGATAGATTATAAAAATATTCATAAATGACCATTTGCTTTGATTTGTTGCCTTCAGGGTCCTCCTGGGACAGCAGGACTCCCTGGAGAGCTTGGCCGTGTGGGACCTGTTGTGAGTACCACAGTGCACTTTGATAGACCTTTGCTGATTTAATAGAAGATGTTACCTGGGAAAGCAAACTACCCTAACTGTACATTTCCACTTGCGAACCAAAACATGGCAGATGAATTTCATTCCAGTTTATAATATTGGTGTGGACCAGGAATAATAATATTTTTTGCAGAGTGATTTTAATTTTTTCCTAAATTTTTCAGCTAAACTCTTCTTCCCAACTTCCAGGTTGTCAAGTAAGAGAGTGTCATCCTCATTTTACAGACTGTCAGCCAGGACTGGAGTCTAGAGGCTTTTGTATTAGGCTCTCTGCATGAAATAAAAGTGAATAGCCTAAAATTATTACCATGTATATTTATGTTAGGATCATTAAGTTATAATTCAGCCAACAAAATTTAACTTTTAACATTAAAGAGCTGTACTTCATAAAAAATGTCTCATATAAAATGCTTCATATTGATATTAAGTAAACATTTCAAAAACGTTGACATAGTGATGTTATGTGAAGGTGGGTAATTGTAAACTCACTGTGGGAAGGGGCCATGTATCATATACCTTGTTTGTTCCTCTACATGTGCTCACTGTTTGCAAATTTATTTAGTGAAGAAATGAATGAATATGAAATGATTGTAAAGTTAAAATAATTGTGAGGTACTTCCGACTTTTTATGGCAGAACATCAAGAAGGAAAATGTGCCAAGAGTAAACATTGGATGTTAAGAGTAATTGGAACCCATTTTCATCTGAACGGTTTACTTCGATGTAGCTTTCTTTGATTTTTTGACCCATTGCAAGAGGTGCAGTGACGGACCAAGTGATAGATTGTGGGTGAACAGCACTAGCAAGAGTCAGGCACTGCAGCGATTAACTTCTATTTCGCAGCTTCAGACTGAGTGCAAGCCTTCTTTTGCACTGGTTAGCAGGATGGCACTAGCCGTATAGGTTGCTCTGGGTCCTCTGTAAATCAACTAGAAAAATAAGTAGCGTTTCCAATTTGTTTTCAGAGTAGATAAAATGTTCGTCCTATAGAGAAGAATTGGCTTTGCTTTTTCCCCTAGCCTCTCTCTGACTTGTTTTATTACCTCGGTGAGACTGGAATGCCTTTATTATTCTCATTTTGTAGTACTAATTGGATTATGGGCCACCCATCGATTTTGGTGGCAGGTCTACGCATGGCTGAGCTCGGTGGGGGTTTCCAGTAATACCATTCTCTCATGCCTCACTGTTTTTATGTACTGTGTTTTGACACATGTATAACCACTGTGTCACAATTTTCAAATAACTTAGGGTGACCCTGGGAGAAGAGGACGACCTGGCCCCCCTGGCCCCCCAGGACCCAGTGTAAGTTGTTTGCAACTTGAATTTCTCTTTGTGTCTGAGAGTCAGGGTTGGAAAAAAAATCTAAGAACCCAAAATGGAAGTTCCTATTAATTGAGTCGTTGCCCCGAATTTCCAAAATGGCTATCAAATTTTTCCTGCACTCAAGGCATGGTTCTTTTTAGGGCAAGAAGTAGAGGAATCACAATAATTTAAAAGGTGGTTTTTACAGGGCATATCTTACTCATTACTTTTGAAGTCTTTTGACAGTTGTGACGTCTCAAATGCTCAAAACTTAGATACATAAAGGAAGCATTTTCAAATGAACTAGTTTTAAAAAAGGTTTTCATAGTAAGAAAAATATAAATAGGAGTTTAAATAGAAGATAATTCATATTTTTATTTGTAATTCAAAGTTCCCCACATTTTCTATTTCACCTCTTATTTCATTTCCCTTCAATGCCTTCCCAAAATAATCTACTGCAATTCATGACTCTCCAAAGAGAACATGCCCATGAGTCAGGATTTTAGAATATTAGCAAATTATCTGCTCCTATTTGTTTCTTGTATTTTATTAAACAAATATATTTTATATTCTTGCCTGATGAGCTTTGTATTATTAGTATGTTTGAATTCATTATTTAATTGTATTCTGAACCTTAATATTTTATTTACTTTAGGGAACAATTGGCTTTCATGATGGAGATCCATTGGTAAGATGCTTTCCTTTGAACAAAATATAGTTTTAATTCAAAGGCCATATAGTCTGCAGATGAGTTTTCTTTAAAAGATCTCCCTGGAATATACTATGTGTCTGTGTTTTCCTTTCACTCAGATGGCAGAGCAGTCTGTAACACTAGTGGACTACTGGCTTGCATCTATTCAGACTAATAATTTTTCATTATAGATGTATCTTTGTTCTTCTATAATCTTTTTACTTTATGACTAAGACATGCTTTTCACTAGAGCATCCAGGTTTTAAAGAGGTAGAATTCAAATAACTTCCTCTAGGATTTGTTTTGCTCATAGAGTAACAGTTCAATGATGGTGGTAATGTGCACTACATGCAATGTTGGCCCCTTTGATGGGAGACATGAACCTCAGGATGTGGCTAGTCTAGTGGAAGGGGAAGGGGAAATGAATCCTGTCATGGTACAATAGGTTATCTGTAAACATATTTTCTTCAATAAATTAGATTTGAAATAAATATTGCAAAATATTAACATTTGTTAAATCTGGATGATAGATTCATGGGGGAGGGTATTGTATTCTTTATACTTTTCTGTTAGTTAGAAATATTTCTGGCTTTAAATGTGAAATAATAAGAAGAAGAAGGAAAGGGGTGTTAAAATTATTTAATGAATATTATTGCAATGGAGTTCTGTAACTGGAATCCCTTAAGAAAAGACTTTGTCACAAAGCGGGAGTCCTAGTTTATGCACTCTACCTGTCTTTCTTTCTCTTTGTTCTCTCTCTCCCTGGCAGTGTCCCAATGCCTGTCCACCAGGTCGCTCAGGATATCCAGGCCTACCAGGCATGAGGGTAAGAGAAAAACTTCCAGTATTTTAAGAGTATTATCCACAGATAAAATGGAGCCTTTACTTTAAGCATTAACCTTCCTGGTGCAGAGACCTCACTTGGATGGATCAGGCAAGTAGTGCTTATTCAATCCTAGCAATTCCAGCTGCCCTTGACATGTATTCCTACCAAGATATGGATGTTTAATCATAGGATGGCTTTCTAGTTCAGGGAGAAATACCAATAAAATGCATTGGACTGAGAGACTTTAGAACACCAAATTAAGATTCAGACGTTTGCTTCCTGGCTGAGTGTAGTGGCTCATGCCTGTAATCCTAGAACTTTGGGAGGCCAAGGTGGGAGGACTGCTTAAACCCGGGAGTTTGAGACCAGCCGGGACAACAGCAGGAGACTCCTGTCTCTACAGAAAATAAAAAATTAGCTAGGCATGGTGGCGTGCACTTGTGGTCCTGACTACTCAGGAGGCTGAGGTGGGAGGATCACTTGAGCTCGAGAAGTCAAGGTTGCAATGAGCTGTGATTGTGCCACTGCACTCCAGCCTGGGTGGTGGAATGAGACCTTGTCTCAAAAAAAAAAAAAAAAAAAAAAAAGTGCTTCCTATTAAGGGAGATAGTGAGTAGTGGGGCAGTTGGAGGGGATTGTGTACATAATGTATTTGAAAACTTTTAGTTACAAAAAAATTTAAAAAACTGCCCAAAATAGTCAGGAAAAGAGACTTTCCAAAAGTATTTTTCGCTATCTGCCATCATAATTACTTGAAAATTTTCCATACAAGCAAATACATACCACATTCTGGGGATAAATGGCTTTCTCTCTCTCTAGTCTCTGAGTCTAAAGTGATTTTGAGACATTCCAGACCAATGGAGCTCTGCTGTGAACTGAAAGGCCCCAAGGCACTGATTTTCCATTAGGGTTTTTCTAAGGGTAGTTTTGGTGGGTTCCCTCAACTGCAGAAGATTCAGGCCCGGACAGGTGTCCTATTTTGCAAAAAGACTTCTTTGAGGGGTGAAAGTTCTGACAGTTTTCATTTTGGAATGCTTGTCTCACAGTTTTGTCTCCTGTTACTACCCAAAGCACACACATGCTTAGGACAGGTGGCCTGACAAGAAAAGACAGGGATCTTCTTTTCATGCAATGCAGCTTTCACCCACTGCCCTTTATTGCTTTCCCTTTGCACTTAAACATTGTACACAGTAGGCTGGGCGCGGTGGCTCACGCCTGTAATCCCAGCACTTTAGGAGGCTGAGGCGGGTGGATCACCTGAGGTTGGGAGTTCAAGGCCAGCCTGACCAACATGGAGAAACCCTGTCTCTACTAAAAATACAAAATTAGCCAGGCATAGGGGCACACACCTGTAATCCAACTACTGGGGGGGCTGAGGCAGGAGAATTGCTTGAACCCAGGAGGAGAGGTTGCGGTGAGCAGAGGTCATGCCATTGCACTCCAGCCTGGGCAACAAGAGCGAAGCTCCATATCAAACAAACAAACAAACAAACAAACAAAAAGTACACAGAAAGAGGCAGAAGGTTGTGCATCAGAGAAAGTCCACTTATACCAGCCCTTCCTCCACCACCAGGAAGGGGGTGGGAATGGAGGAGGCCGAAAGGTTTTCAGAGCGGCCTTCAGAGGGCAGGGGATAGCCTTGGTCAAGGCTGTCACTTCTGAAAGGTTAAGTTCCCAGAACTAGAGAAGACTTAATGCTCCTAACCTGTGTGAGGAAGTTGGAGAAACAGGGACTAGGAAATAACAGGCAGGTATCAGTGAACTAGGTAATGAAGAGTCTGTTATTCTAGAGCAGTGTTTTTCTATTAAGTAAAACTGATATTAATTATATACGGCAGTCATGGTGCTGTTAAGGTCATTCAAGGCACTGATTTTCTTTGTGACAGTACCATTTCTTAGTAATACATTGGCATTGATTTAGGGAAGCAGGATCACTTTATGAGCCTTCTGATCACTTTCTGTACCAAACTCAGGACAATTATTTATTTTGCATTTGTTAGGGTCATAAAGGGGCTAAAGGAGAAATTGGTGAACCAGGAAGACAAGGACACAAGGTAAGGAGAATGGGTATTTAGTGGATAAATTGTGATTAGGAGTTATTGGTCACTTTCATTATAAGAAATTAGGAATTATAGTAAATAATGAACCATGATATGTTGCCCTTCTTTTTCAAATAATGGTTGATAAGTTCTAAGCAGATGCATCAATATTTGACTAAACATCATATTCTAAAGTTGTTTATTTACAAAAAACACTTACAAATAAGGCACCAGACATTTTCATTTTTTTCCTGTGTCACTACCTTTTCTTTTCTTTTCAAATCAATCACACTCAGCTTTTTTCCTTGATGCTGTGATAGTCCAACATTATTCAGATAGTTGTTCCACTTCACCAGACAAAATTTTATGACATTTGTAAAATTTTATGACAAGTGTTGCTGAGACTAGCAAACAGAGAAGTTGGTAATTGGCTTATAGCTTCTCATCTCAAGTTCTGAAACAATTTATCTATTTATTTCTGACCTCGTTTCAATATAACCTAGATTTTGAGTAAGTGGGAGGTTAGTAATAACTTATGTTATTATCTGGATAGAAATAGAATCCACAGCACAATTTGCATTGCAGCTGGCATGCCCTGCAGAAAAACCAAGGCTGGGATTTAAAGCAAGGTCACCTATTTGCCCTTTTTTTCAACTACTAGTGTAAGTCATCTTTAAGTATCTAAGAATTTGACTTCCTGCATAGTACGTTTTGTCTCAGTAAATTTGATAATATTTTACAAAGTCAAGTAGTTCTTATTAACGCAGGTCCTCTTGACTTTGTTGACGATGTCCTTCTACCCCTTTATTGGGTAGTGACAGAAGACTAGTCTTTTCTTTGGAAGTCAAGAACTGAAGGGGCAATTTATCAATGTCTTCAGGCATTAATATGCTTGAACTTCTTAGCTAAAAATCAGTCTGTTAAATAGCCTCAAATAATCAGGATAAATAGACCAATTTTCTGTACCCTATTACAGTTTGGACATTTATTTTTAAAGTCTTTTATTACATAGACTGTGATAGTTAAGGCATTTTATTTATCTGAAATATAACAGCTGGGTTCCCAATATCAAATTGGAGAAAATAGGAAAAAAAACCGAATGCTTTGGAAATTTCTCTGTGTGATCATTCTTCCACTGAATCTTAAAAATTGTCATTAAAAGTTTTAACAAATATAAAGTACCTGCTATGTACTATGGTTATTCTGAGCACTGGGGGCACGGAAACCAAAAAAAAAAGAAAGTCCAAGCACAGGGGACTAAATTAAATATGTCATAGCCATATAATATAATAATAGAGTATTGGTTAACTACAAAAAACAAGTGTGTACAAATATTAAATTACATCAAAAGATATTCATGAGGTATTCTATGCAGTAAAGCTGATGTAGTAGACTTCTGTTATTTTTGATGTTTGTATCCTTTTCTCCTTCTTTTGGTGATGCTTTCCTTTGGAGAACTTTCACTCCCCATCCCACAGGATTTGGAGATGGAGCTGTTAATCCAGATGCCTTTCCACTTTTCACATGAAACTGGTCTTTTTAATATTTAAACAGGTTAATTATCTAGATTCTCAAATTTGGTTTGGTGTTCAGTGGAAAACCTACAATTTTTTTTGGCATGTCAAATAATTGGCCAAAATTTACTTAGAAAGTTGTTGAAAATTTCTTTATTTTACATTTTAGTGTCACTTGAAAGTGTAAGTGATGTCTTTGAAAATTAATAGGATGGCCATAGCTCATTGCAGAATGAACCTTGAAAGGGTGAGCAGATAGACTGAACTGAAACTGAAAACAGAATGGTAAGAGCTTGGAGGCCTGAAGTTTGGATTCAAATTCACAAATTTGTCTTGAATTTTACCCTACAAATTAGTTAATGAAGATCTTAAAAACTGTTTATGAATATAGGAATGAATAGTAAAATTTCAATAATTAAAATGTGGTATTAGTAACATTATACAGCAGGTCAATACTTATGCAAAAATCATAGTGAAATGATAATAAATTGCTACTCCTAAATTTGTCATTTAACTTCCAGATTATGGATTAGTTGTGTGGTTTTCACTTGTAGGTGAAATAATTCAAATATATGACTCCAAAGTTTATGGAGAATCTATGGAAAATATCCTGTACCTAGTTATGGAAAAATTGCAGTGGACATATCAATCACTGCTGTTTTGTATCTAGTTTTATATTTTTGTAGGGAAATAGAAGTAGCATTTAATTAGGCATATGTGATGATTATCCATGCCAAGAACTAGCTAATTCTCTGGCTTTCCCATTGGGACTGCCTCTTCCCACTGTCAGTTATAGATTCTAGTGAAATATAATCTGAATATAATTATGAGGCTAAAACCAATATGTATGACTCTCATAATTTGTTTAAAAAATCAAGATAAATGATTTCAATATTGTCAAGATTTTAACTCTTGCCATATTACTCTATTAATTTAATACAGTCCTAGTACAAAGCAAGTAGACTCTGTAAAGATCTGCCCAATGATTCAAAAGTTGATTTGGAAGAGTAAACATTTAGGAAATCTAAAAAATAAGAGTAACTATAAATGAAAAATACAGATAAGGGAATTCTCCTTACCTAAGATTAAAATGTATTATAGAATTTCAGTAATTAACATGTTGTGGTATTGGCAATGTCATATAATAGATCGGCAGAGCAGAATCAAAGTCTAGAGCCAATAACAATATAGCATATGTTAAGGATGAATTTTGAAACCTGTGTGGAGAGAATCTATTATTAGAAGAGTGGCCAGTAAGAGAAAAAAGAAAAGATTTCTATGTTTTGTTTTACATCAAAACAAATTACTGATAATTAGAGATGTCTACGTAAGAAGTTACAACATTACTAGAGCAAAAATATAAATAAATGTGTATTTTTGGAGTGGAAAAGGCTTTTCTATGAGTGACATTAAAGGTATAACCCACAAAAGAAATGGCTGATTTGCATTAAAATATTGTATATAGTGCAAAAATTATAATAAGAAAAGCTAAAATAAAAATCACAATGAAAAAATATTGTAGTTTATGAAAAAGTTTTCATAGTATAATTACATTTTTCTAATAATACATCCCCCCCATTTGACACACACTTGGAACATAAATGAGTAACTTTTCTCTCTCTCTCTCTCTGTCTTCTTCTTGGTATCTTTGTCTCTCTTCCTCCTTCCCCACTTCAGAAAAACTTTGAAAGGATAACATCTAAATGTTACTGGTATTTATAGTTAAATGGTTGTATTCAGGTGACTTTTTATATGTATACTTCTCCGTATTTTCTGAATGTTCTATAATTAATTTGGACTGCCCATATAAAATAATTTAAGAAAGTAGAATAATTCAGGAGCCACCAAGTGAACTTAAAACATACTGAGTTAGACCAAGCCTATTTCTATGTTCATTTGCTAGAATAACCTTTGATATGCTTTTCTTTGCTTTTTTTTTTTTTTTTTTAAGGGTGAAGAAGGTGACCAGGGAGAACTGGGAGAAGTTGGAGCTCAAGGACCTCCAGTAAAGTATTTTTTAAAAAATATTTAACTAGGATATGTAAATATTCCTTTTTCTTCCATGACTGTTGGAATATTTTCTATTTAGCAGTTGGATGAATAGCATTACATGAACTTGGTGTCCTCTATTTTTCTACTATGCCAGCATTGGGGGATAAGTACTTTTTCAAAATAGGAGAGGGTCTTCATTATATATTGTAGCACTTTTTTCAACAGAAAAATTCTACCTATAATTACATACATTCATTTACCAGATTTCAGGTCCAAGCAATTGAAAAGCAAATACTAAGCACAAGAGGATGATACATATCTTTTATGTTCTATTGTATTATCACAAGATATAATGAGAAAATTTTGTGTATTCTAAATATGCAGTAGGTATATCATTTATTGGATTAATGTAGCTTATTCCAGTATGTAATCATTATAATTAATTAAAACATTCTTAATTGCTCATATCATGTCTTTTAATAAAAAGTTGGTCCCTTGTGCTTTAGCAGATTTCCGCAATAATATTCACAGTAAGACTTGGGGCATCATCAAACTTCAGTTTCAGATGTTGTTAAATCAGAATTTGCATTACTTTTGTATTACATTAAAAAGGAGTTGTTATACCTTTTTCTTGTTAAAATGAGTAATGACAATTTCAGAAATAATAATTGAAGACTATTAATTTAACATTGCAGCTAGCCAGGGCATAGACTATGTAAAAGACTAGCTCAGGTACTATTCTTAGAAACTGAAGAGTTGAAGACAAACACAGGAACACCCTTTGCCTGCTCTGCTCTTCTCCACAGGACTGGCTGTTTAAAAAGGGTTCAAGGAGCTGCACAGATTAGTGTTTAAGGGCATTTAAAGTGTAAGGGAAATTAAGCTAAAGGAAGTAAGTCAGAGGATCTGGAAGAAATGGTCTCTGCTTTTAAGCCACATGAGAACTTTCAGGGAATCTGTGGTGTCCAGCGTGTTTGTTTCAGAAGTTTGCCCTCCCCTGAGTGTTTGCCATTTGAGACACTAAGAGCTGGACTGTGTTTCGCAGGTGGGCGATAGGGATACATGGTGTAAGTGACATATGCTTTTTTTTAATCTGATGAAAATTTGGTAGGGATTTAAATTTTTTTTTTTTTATAAAAGCCATTCCCAAAGATTCTCAAAACAGGATTTTGCAAACAACATTCTAAAACAGTGTTTACAGGGATTAAGAATCTATGTTGGGTGCTGCGTGGCTCAAGTGGTCCATTGGGAGATATCTGTTAGTGCTTGATGACCTTCTGCTCTTTGGGAGTAGATATGCCAAATTTTCAAAAGCATGTACTTTTTAAATGTACATGCACAAATATAAAGTAATGCACAACTTTAAAAAATATGCTTCTTGGAATATTTAGAGAAAGCTCTGTTCTTCAAACTAGACACCTCAAGAGACAATATGTGGTATTCTTGTGTCGTTGCTATTGACCCAAATATTCTTTTTATAGAAATAACTTTAGAGCTAGGAAATGAGCTATACAAGAAAGAGCAGCTTTCATCTGATATGGCCACATCTCACTCGATATTCTAAATGGATATCCTAAACTGGATCATCTTGCGTATTTGAATTGGAGGTCATTCCTGACAGATCTACATAGAATCTGTGACTGGTCTGAATGAAGAGTTGGTCATGGACTTGCCCCCTTTTCTCCAAGTGAGAAGAAGAGAGAAATGGCTGGCCTAGAGCTCCTTTATCTTAAGCCAATGGGGACAGTTAGCAGGTTGTCCAGAAGTAGCTACCCCCACTTTCCTAGTGGAACATCCACCCTCCTCTGCTTCCAATGGTATTCCCAGGCTCACTCCTTCCAGGATCGATTTTTGGATCCCTCCTACTATGGGACCAGAGAGTCCAGAATGGTAACATTTCAGTATTGAAAGAGATCCTAGAAATCACACTCAGCCCCTCGTTTTTAGGATTATCCACTCTTATGCCTACGATAGGTTCCTATTGCCCCAAGTTGGAATTCAGAATGCCTTTCCTCATAAGAATGGTATCATGAATAGTGACTACAAGGGGTTGATGGAGGCTCCACCTCCTTTCTAGGTTATAGGCTTTTTTTTTTTTTTTTTGAGACAGAGTCTCGCTTAGTCGCCCAGGCTGGAGTGCAGTGGCGCGATCTCGGCTCACTGCAAGCTCCGCCTCCCGGGTTCACGCCATTCTCCTGCCTCAGCCTCCCGAGTAGCTGGGACTACAGGCGCCCGCCGCCTCGCCCGGCTAATTTTTTGCATTGTTAGTAGAGACGGGGTTTCACCGTGTTAGCCAGGATGGTCTCGATCTCCTGACCTCGTGATCCGCCCGCCTCGGCCTCCCAAAGTGCTGGGATTACAGGCGTGAGCCACCGCGCGGTTATAGGCTTTCGTGGGCTAGCCTGGGAAACTACTACTTTTGATGGTGTCCACTGGTGGGAAAAAATTATTTCAAGGTTTAAAATCATGTTACATGTCACCAAGCTACATGCCATGAAGGAAGTGGGAATAATAGTATCAGTTCTATATATGAGTTAAAAGGTAAGTCAAACATATTATCACAATTTCTCTTATGCTGATATTTACTTTTTTGTCAACTCCAGTTTTGTGTAAGACTTCAGAATTTTATAAAAATGTTTACGATCTGAAGAATTCTCCCTGGACTTTCTAAACTAGAAATGTTTGTCTATATATTGTCACTATTTCTTAGTATTACCTTTGGTTATGATAATCTCCATTTTCTAGATCAGCTTTTGTGATGAGATTTTAAAAAGCTTTGCTTCAACTAAAATAATTCGCTTCTCTTTTTTACATTTCCAGGGAGCCCAGGGTTTGCGAGGCATCACCGGCATAGCTGGAGACAAAGGGGAAAAAGTAAGATGGTGATGACAATAATATAATATCAAAATGTGTTAAATATTTAAAATTCTGGCTATTTAAACAAAGCTTTTTATTCAACAACTTTTTTTTTTCTTTTTTTCTTTTTTTTTTTTTTTTTTTGAGAAGGAGTTTCACTCTTTTTGCCCAGGCTGGAGTGCAATGGCACAATCTCAGCTCACTGCAACCTCCACCTCCCGGGTTCAAGCAACTCTCCTGTCTCAGCCTCCCGAGTAGAGTAGCTGGGATTACAGGTGCCTGCCACCACACCCAGCTAATTTTTGTATTTTGTAGTAGGGATGGGGTTTCACCATTTGGTGAGGTTCGTCCTGAACTCCTGACCTCAGGTAATCCACCCAGCTTGGCCTTACAAAGTGCTGGGATTACAGGCATGAGCCACTGCACCCAGTCTAACAACATGACATTTTATGATGCTTTGTAGATGTGTGATGAGGTTTTCGCAATTATGTTGTAAGCACAGATAACAGGAATGAGCAGTATGCATGATATTTGCCATGTATTAATCTATTTTAAATTATATTGAGTAAATCAGAGTAAACAAGGTTTTTACATTTTACCTCATTGTCATGATCAGCAGTTAGCATTGATACCACTGGCACAGTGCCTGGAGTGCTTCTGGTCAGGCAAGACAAAGACAGGGAGGATGGAAAATGAGCGGTAAGCCAAGGCAGGACATCCCCAAAGACACTGGGGCCTCCAGTGACCCACCTGCAAGCTGATCCATGAGCCCTGCCCTTAGCATGGGTTATACACTTATGGCTGGAGGACACTAGCCTGCCCTTATACCTGTCTCAGAAACCAGATTCTCCCAGCACTTCCATACCAAGGCACTCTGCAAGCTGCTGGAGAGATTCCAAGGGGAGTAAGACCTTTATCAAGTCGGTTATTTATTGGGCGAGACAAATAAGTAGATAGTTAACTACAATGTAAGCAAAAGAGACATGAATCTGAGGGCCAGTGGTATGATGGAGTGCAGCAGAAGCAGAGCTAATCTTAATAGGAAAACTGAGAGGGTCCATGAAGGAGATGGCATTAGAAGGATGAGGTATTGCCATTGGTGGAGGATGAAGGACAGGCAGTGCTTAGCTCAGTGATTATCATCACAGAATCATCATGATGCATTCAGAAGTGTTTTCCTTGGCATGTGTGTAGGGATGTGGTTAGCCTCTCTATCAGATTTTGAGAAAGTGGTTACCACTTCTTGGAAAGAATGTTAGGAAAGTTAATTTATAGGCTTCAGAAAATACGAAAAGCATCTTTTCCCACCACCACTTCTGACCCTGACCTCATTCTCTTTATAACCTCTATGGCTAATTGGTGTCAGTTCCACCACCAGCACAGAGCCTTTTATTAACAGTTAAGGAATAATGCATTGTACATTGTACATGCTCAATAAATGAAATTAAATTTTTCTTTTTAAAAAAGAGATGCACAGCTTGGTGAATGAAGGATCAGGCTTATTTATCAACTTTTTTTGTCAATTTAATGTTTTCTTTCCAGGCTCTTTGTCACTTCTAGGTATTTTCATTCTGCCTGCTTTCCTTATCCATTTTTTTCGATCAATATTTCTTTTCTGAAAACTTTGTGTTTGTAAAACATATTAGATGCATTCATATTTCTATATTTATGTTACCTTAAGTAACATTCAGTGTGTATCTTTTCTTTTATTAGATAGTAGATCCCATTTATTTCAGAGCTGCTGATACCTTCATTTTTTCTGGATTTAAATCATCCCCTAGAATATGTGACCCCTCACTTTGAAACCAGTTACTGTTCTTGATATGGTCTTCATTTGAGATATTTTTCTGTTTGGTATTTTTCAAACTTCTCATTTCCTCTGAGTTCTGTCAAATTGCTTTAAAAAAGAAAGAAAGAAAAAAAAAAGCTCTTCTTGTGAACTCAGACCCATAGAGTTGTTACCTAGTAACAGCAGTTTGAGTCTAAGCTCATGCTGAACAGCAGTAAGAGAGAGAGAGAGAGTGCATCAAAGCCATTTCTATAATGCAAAGGTTGGGTTCTGCTCTTGTAATGCAAGGTGAGTGATAAATTCAAGGTCTTTGTCAGGTCTTCAAAATCTCTTCTTCTCTGGTGAATGTAGAATGCCTTTTGCTCTGTCCTACTTTTCAGGGATCAAAGAATTTCAGGGCTCTCTGGTACCTCTGCTTCAGTTGAGTGCTTTGATTCTACCTATGTCTGAAGCTTCTATCACGGATTTTCTAATTTTTAATTCTTACTATACATGCTGTCCACCTAGTTTCCTTGATTTGACACTTGATTCAAATTTGACACTTGATTTCTTGGCCTGACATCTATCCAGTACTCTTGATTGTTTTTCATTTATTTTATCATCTTCACATCTCAACCTGGTTCATTAGAAGGCTGCCTCATTATGCCTTTTTATTCACTTAGTAGATAAGAAAAAGAAAGACAGGGGTTATATTTTGTCAGATAGCATACATACATGCAGATAGCACTAAAAACACTTTTTAAGATCTTAAGATCACATTTTGATTCTCATGATGAAAATAAAGAGGTGATAGTGTACAATACGTTAGGCACATCAGAGATTATTTCAAGATAATTAGATTTATAAAGCTCTGAGTCATTCTTATGTCATCACTTGGTAAAGTGGATCTGTTCTTGAGAAAATAGGTTGGTTACTTTATGCGAATTGAACCTAATATCTGTCTAGGATGGGAGAGGGTATACTAAGGTCCTTCCTGTAATTCCTTCCATGAATCACATGGCTGGACTTCTTATTCCAGATCTTGGTGGGAGATCCAGAATCCCAGAAATCCCTTTCACAGTGTGGCAGCACCAGAGTATAGCAGTTGTTCTTAGAGTGGCTCCATGGCCTTCACCGTTAATAAATTTTTTGTGTGTGCTTTTGAGACAGGGTCCCACTCTGTCTCCCAGGCTGGAGTGCAGTGGTGCTCCCTCCACTCAATGCAATCTCCTCCTCTGGGAGGAGTGATTCTCTTGCCTTAGCCTCCTCAGTAGCTGGGACTACAGGCATGTGCCAACAGACCCGGCTAATTTTTGTATTTTTATAGAGACTGGGTTTTGCTATGTTGGTCAGGCTGTCTCGAACTCCTGGTCTCATGTGATCCGCCCGCCTGGCAGTTAATGAATTTCTGTAGAAATGTTAAGAACCCTGAGAGTAGCTACCAAACTTCTTCTAATAGATTTACCGATCTATTAATAAGCACCTGTGTGTTTAGCTCATGTCAGCAACTGAGAATTGGTGCAGTGTTAACTTAAAACACACAGAGTTGCCCGGGTGCAGTGGCTCACGCCTGTAATCACAGCACTGTTTTGGAGGCCAAGGCAGGCAGATCATGAGGTCAAGAGATCGAGACCATCCTGGCCAACATGGTGAAATCCTGTCTCTACTAAAAATACAAAAATAAGCTGGGGCGTGATGGCATGCGCCTGTAGTCCCAGCTACTCAGGATGCTAAAGCAGGAGAATTGCTTGAACCTGAGAGGTGGAGGTTACAGTGAGTCGAGATCACACCACTGTACTCCAGCATGGGCAACAAGAGCGAAACTCTGTCTCAAAACAACAACAACAACAACAACAACAAAAAAAAAACAGGGTGGCATCAAAGATTGTGTTTAAGTACAGTTGGTATGCTGAGTAGATGTAAACAAGTGTTTTTTTACCTGAGGTGCCTGAGTAATTACTCCTCAGGGATCACTGTTTGTATTACAGGCATAAAACCTCCTTTTCATCTGGCTACTACATGTCTTTAGAAAGGTGGATGCTTCCTTTAACATACATGACTGATCTCGGTTTTTTCCACTGTCTTGATTTTTGCAGGGTGCTCGGGGCTTAGATGGCGAACCTGGGCCTCAGGGTCTTCCTGGTGCACCTGTAAGTGATTTTCCTTCCACAAAGCCCAATGATAGACTTTTTTTTTTGCTATGTATGCATATGTGTGCAGTATTCTTTACATGTGAATAACTAAAGTGGAAAAATGGACAATTTTTATGTATATGTTTAAATTTAAATTTAATTAAGACAAGTATCTTTCTTGGGTACATAGAAATGTTCTTCTGACGTGATATGATTTTTTTTTCTTCACAGATTAAGCCAAATTATTAAGTATTTATGTTTGCTGTGTTTTCCTTTTCTTTGGTTGTCAGGATGCGTTGAGTCTCAGTAACTATCTCATTTCTAGTTTCTTGCCCATTTGATATTTTTCATTTTCTATGGTTTCTGACTTCATTATTCCACATTTTGATTGCCATATGTCCATGTGTCATTATTTTAGATTTCCTCAAGCCTGTTTTTTGAGGGAAATAGACAAAGAAGCCATCCATTGATAACTGAATATGCCACATAAAAAGTAGAAAAGATATAAGAAAGAGAGAATTTCCAACTGTCAAAGAGAATTTCCAACTGTGTTCCAATGGGAAAGACAGAAAGTAACTCAATGATAAACTATACAAGATCAAATGCTAAAGCATAGGATAGATGTCATCCATGTAAGAGGACCTGAGGGGGAGGTTGGTTTGAAAGCCTGTGGGCAGGAAAGGCAGCAAAGTACAGGGGTGGCACCGTTGGTGGTGATGGGATATGTGTGCTGTCCTAGGGGCTGTCACTGCCTGGAGTTGAAAGTTTGGTTGAAAAGATGAGATTGGATGAATAAGGTAGAACTAAATCATGGAGAATGTTTAATGCCAACCTGAGCCATTTGAACAGATCCAGTAGCAATAGGGAGCCATTTGAGGTTTTAGAGTTAAGCAACTCAACAAAAACTGTATTTTAGGAAGACACAGCCTCTTATCTATTACCATCTGTAGCATATATCAACATTAGCTAGATCACTTCGACAGAAATCACTAATATTGACTATGGGATTAAATAATATGAGGGAAAGATTGGCAACTAATCCAAACCTCAAACCTCTATAACAGTCAATGAAGTTAGCTGATATGTACATGCAGTTACTGATGTCGAAATCCACTGCATGGAGCCATTATATGTTACACGCAAGAACACAGAGGCATAATGCATTTAAGGGGAAAACAAAAGACAGTCAAGTCTTAGTTATCTCTATGGCAATATCCATTTTTGAGACAATGCCATTTTTATAGAAAAATTTCTTCATCTAGACTTCCTTGATAGAGCAAAACCACTGTGGTGGAAGACCAATAGTTGGGTGACACGGATGATGCTTTCTAATTTTTAAAAGTTGATTAATAAGTAACTTTTGCTTATATTAACAAATTTTATTTTCATACAGGGTGATCAAGGACAGCGAGGACCTCCAGGAGAAGCAGGTCCCAAAGGAGAGAGAGTGAGTTTAAATTCGTCACTCTAAGCCTCCTGCTTTTCAGTGTCATCTGCTGATTATGCTGATCTCTTTGACATGTCTAAGTATTATGATAACTGAACATGTTTTATCTATTCTTTCTCTTCCGCCCTGCAGGGGGCTCAAGGTGCTAGAGGAATTCCTGGTCTCCCTGGGCCCAAAGGAGACACGGTATGTCCTGAGCTGTAGTCATCAAGCACATTTTTCAGTGATCATTGACTTGCAATAAAACTTTAGAAAATAATGAAGGGAAAAAGAATGTGACTGTATGTAAGAGACAGTATGTTGCTTTGTGTGTGTTTAGGGTTTGCCAGGTGTGGATGGCCGTGATGGGATCCCTGGAATGCCTGGAACAAAGGTAGGCTGTGTAATTTAGTCCAAGAGTGAGTGGGACTGCCTCTGCCCTGGCCAACTGAGCGCAACATTTCCATTACTAAATCACCAAAATATTTATTTAGCTAGCTTTGGCTTTTTCCCTTCCTTTAATTTTTGAATCAAGTGTCAAGTATGAAATATTTGTTGGAATAGTATAATTATTTGCTTGGTTTCAGGAACTCAGTAAAATTACCGTGTTGATGAAAGTAGGTTGAGAGAGACTGTGCGTTTTGGTCGAATTATGTCCTATTTCCCACCCTACTCCCTCACCCTAAATTAAGTCACTTTATAAAAGTGCATGTAAAGTCAGCTGTTGGGACAATCCTTTTACTTAAAACGTCTGTGCTCCTCCCTTTCTTAAAAGTGATACAGCAGTTCATACAGGTTCAATCATGTGATAAAAGCTTTTTTTGCAGGGTGAACCAGGAAAACCTGGGCCTCCTGGTGATGCAGGATTGCAGGGGTTACCAGTAAGTATTTGATTCTTTACATGTTAATTGGTTTATATACATGTTTTCAAGATATACATTTTGGGGAGAGACATGCTACCTAATTTGATAAGTTCTGGGGAAGATACGATGTTTTACTTTTACATTTTTACAATTTACATTTGTATTTTATATACTTGTTCTCTGAATAGCTATTTGTGTAATAACTGTAAATAATAGGCTTTAATTTTATGGTTTGGATTCCTTTTCTGTCTTTAGTTTACTCAGTCTTTTTAATATATTTTTTAACTAACCCTAAGCTCTAGGGTTATGTATATTTCATTCCACTTTAAACCAGTTCTAAAGTTCTTCTTAGTAGGGTTAAGCTACAAGAGTGCTGAGAGTGTGATCAGTTGACCCCTTGGATTATGTACTATTTTTAGTCATTCAAATTGGTGTTTCCTTGCATTAATGTGTCTGGAAGTTCATGTGGATTGTACCACGTGTATTCTTGGCTCTTTGGAGGCAAATCTTTCTAATTAATAAAGAATACTTGGTAATATCAAAGCCTGGCCCCCTATCTTTTATGACACCTAATGCTTTTTAAATAATCAGATAAATTAGCACTCCCAATAATATCAAATCTGAGTTAGACCCAGCATCTTCCTACCATTTCGTTTTTCTACTACAAAGCCCAACATTTTTGAGAGGTCTTATTTTATTACTCCGTACATGAAACCATGTCACAAGCCTGTAGTCTCTGTCCTGCCTATTAGAGCTCCTCTTGACCTGAAAATGGTACTGGATTCTAATTTGGGAAGTTTGTCCTTGAAAAGTAACTTTAGTTTAAAGACAAGATTTGCTTTAAGGGCATTTAGCTTTAACAAGCCAGATATAGTAAAGTCATGCCCTCTAAACTGTGGGTAGTTCTATAAATGACTGTGCAGGGTTTGGGAACTAGGAAGCATCTTCCTCACATTAAAGCTTTGAGGTTGCCATGATTCCCTCAGCCTCCCTGCAGTGTGCAGTGGGCTTGGCATCTCATGGATTCTCAGAGGAAGTGATTAAACTCGCATTGTGTATGTATTCTTTTAGGGTGTACCTGGAATTCCTGGTGCAAAGGGTGTTGCTGGTGAAAAGGTAAAATATTTTAAAATTTAAATTAATATTTTTCTTAATTTCTTTATTATTTACTAACATATTTATAATTTTTAATACTTTCAGCATGTCTTTTATTTTATATTTGGCCCTAGGGAGAGATACAAAAGTAAAAGTGTTAAGGCTTCAAATACTAATCTTTTTCCTAACTACAGAAAGCATACTTTGATAAAATGCTGCTTATTAGATTTCCTTAATGAAAATGTCATCCTTTGCCAGTATAAAACAGAAAATTTTATTGTTCCTTACTACCTAAAATAAGGAAGATACTGCTAAGCCGCAGAACTTGTGTCAGAGACTATTATTAGGATGATTCAGCTAAACTAAAAAGATACTAGGCATTTTTTTCACATTCTGATTGACCTACATAAAACAAAAATGTAAGCAGTTAAAAACAATAGGTGGAAAAAATTTTAAGGGATAAAATATAGCTTTGCTTGAGAAGAAAAGAGATAAAAGGTGAATAATGTAGAGATTGGTCGCTATTAGAGTACCAGGCTGCAACCCTCCAATCACAGAGGTCTGCAGCATCCTGAGCTGCACAAGAGATTGATGGTGGAGAGGGCGTCTCCAGACATGTGCTTTCCCTAGAGCTTGCTGGTGGGGCTTTCTCAGCAGCACATCCTATTTCCCCATGTTGGTTGGATTCTTAATAATTTCAATAGTTTAATGTAAGATAAAAAGAGTCAAAGAATTATATTGGAGGTAGAAATGGTAAAGGAAAGACATATATTATTATTATTGTGAAGAAAGAAAAATCCTATAATTGAAGAGGATCCCCTTAAATGAAGGCTAAAACCGCTGATTGTTTGACATTGGACCTGTAATATATTTCTTAGACTCACAGACAATATCCTGAATCTAAAGAATTTTGATGTATCTAACAGGAAAGAGATTCTGTACATTCCCAGGTTCTCAGTGTGAAAGCAGGGAATTAATGCTATTCAAATGTAAGAGATACCCAGTCTGGGTAAGGCAGATTGATGATTATGCTTACTTCAGCATGAGTTACTTTGAATGTTGCATTTTACCCTTAGGGTAGTACAGGTGCTCCAGGGAAGCCTGGTCCGATGGGAAATTCAGGCAAACCGGTAAGACACCATTTTACCTCTCCCCAAATTCTAACCTGTTGTAATCAGTATGCGTTAACTTTTTTTCTACCTTCCTTCCTCATAACAGGGCCAACAGGGGCCTCCAGGAGAGGTGGGACCCCGAGGACCCAGGGGGCTTCCTGTGAGTATTCCTTCCTTGCTGTGCTGTCCCAAAGCACCTTCTCAGGACTTTGTTGGATGTTCTTCCATTCATTCATTCATTCATTCATCCATCCATGAATGCTGTCTGATGTTTGAGCCCATGCTAGTCCAAGACAAAGAGATGAAGTGCTATTTAGATGCACAGCATGCCTTTTCAGAAAATGGAAACAAAAATAAAATGCCTCAAAAACCATGGTGACCCTTTCTGCTCTCATCCCATGTTGAAGAAAATATTTTAGTGTGATTTAAAAAGACCCAACATTGAGATACAGTTCACATACTACATAATTCACCCATCTTTATTGATTTTTAGCATATTGATGGAATTGTGCAACCTTCACCCCAATCAAGTTTAGAATATTTCCATCACCTAAAAAAAGAAATCTTATACCCACCTCCCACCTGTAGTCATCCATCATTTCCTCTTAATTCGTTCGGTTTTAGAGAACCACAAATCCACTTTATGTTTCTATAGATTTGCCAGTTCTGGAATTTTCATGTAAATGGAATCATACAATATGTTAGCTTTTTGTTTTTTAAAAAATAAATAATTAATTAATTTTTTAAGAGATACGGTCTCTCTCACTCAATCACCCAGGTTGGGGCGCAGTGGTGCAATCATAGCTCACAGCAACCTTGAACTCCTGGGCTCATGAGGTCCTCCCGCCTCAGCCTCCCGAGTGACTGGGACTAAAGGGGTGCACCACCACACCTGGCTAATTTTTAGTTTTGTTTGGTAGAGATGGTGTCTTGCTATGTTGACCAGGCTGGTCTTGAACTCCTGGCTTCAAGCGATCCTTCTGCCTCAGCTTCCCAAAATGTTGGGATTACAGGCATGAGCTACCATGCCCGGCTATATTTTATTTTTTTTCCTAATGATTGGCTTCTGTCACTTAGCATAATGTTTCAAGGTTTATCTATGCTGTAGCATGTATCAGTGCTTCATTCCTTTTTATTCTTGAATAATATTTAATTGTGGGGATTAATTATGTGGATATATCACATTTTATTGATCCATGCATTGGGTGATAGACATTTGGATTATTTCCATTTTTTTGGCCATTATCAAACGTGCTGCTATGAACATTTGTATATAGGTTTTTGTGTGGACTTATGTTTTAATTTTTCCTGAGGGCCTACCTAGGAGTGGAATTACTGGGTCATAGGGTAGCTCTGCTTTGGAGAAACCACCAGACTTCTCTTAGTGTGAGTTTGTAAACTTGTCTATTTTACAGCAGCCATAGCAATGACTATTTTCTCACTATATACAGTTTAACCCTAGAGAGAAATTGATTAGGAAATTAAATATTATACACTTAAATTTGACTTTAAAACATTCTCTCTGGCCTTCAGTTTCAGTTCTTATTTCCAAAGGCTGCTGAATAGCCAAAAGAACTCCAGGTGGGAACACAGAAACATTTCCAAATATCATTATTACTTCTTTTGAAGCATTTCTTGGGCATGTGGAATGAAGATTTTCATACTTGAGAAAAGTGAAGTATTCCAGGTGTCTTGTGGCATGAGAATGGAATTTCTTCGCTTCTCACAGATATTTGTCAGCCAACTTCCACCAGGTGGTTTCCTGAGATTTCTGTAGCCAAAGCAACCAGCTCATCATGCTCCCCACTCACTTGCTCTGTGCTTCTTTTATGCTTTTCTTTGGCTTGAAGCTTGTGAATTTCTAATTAAAATACTTTCCATAAGTTAACTGTCGAAGCAATGATGTTATAGCCAGATCACATTTCTAAAACAATGAAGATGCTATATGACGAGCCCAGGAAGATTGAGCAGTGTGGGGCCATTAAAGCTTTGTGAGTGTTTACTATTACATCTCTTATTCATCTTATTTTATTTTATTTTAAACAGACTCTTGCTCTGTTGCCCAGGCTGGAGTGCAGTGCTAAGATCATGGCTCACTGCAATCTCCACCTCCTGGGTTTAAGTGATCCTCCCACATTAGACTCCAGAATAGCCGGAACTACAGGCGCACACCACTGCGCCCAGCTAATTGTATTTTTTGTACAGACAGGGTTTTGTCCTGTTGCCCAGGCTGGTTTCAATCTCCTGAGCTCAGGTGATTCACCCTTTTTGGCCTCCCAAAGTGCTGGGATTGCAGGTGTGAGCCACCTCGCCCGGCTGTATTAGACACTTTAAAGAGCAGAAAGCTCCATATAGTTAAAGGAACATTGACTGAGCACTTGTGGGCCAGGACCATGCGTGAATACAAAACATGACATGGAGTAGGGAGAGCTGCTTGGCATGGGCTGCATAAAGCAATGAAGAACCAGAGGCAGCACCGCAGGAGAGGATGGGGTAGGGGGTTGATTCTCCTGTGTGAGGAAAGGCAAATCATAGGAGGTTATGCTGATGCAGGGTTTTGGATCTGATTTTTTAGATTTTGATTTTTGAATTTCTGTAAGAGTCCAAATTCTTGCGATTGCTCCTGTCCCTGAGGCTCAAAACCTCGGCATTTTCCTCCATCACATTTCCTATCACAAATAGGACCCGTTGGTTCTGTCCTCTTTTCAAGATCTCTTACATTTGACTCTTCATTTCCATTCCCACTACTACCACCCTGGCTCAGGTGATCACCCGCTGCTTGGATTACTGCAGTTGTCTCACCGGCTGAAGTCTTTCCTTTCTCTACCAGTGTCTCCCAAAGGGTACTGCTACAATTTGGGCTGGGCTAGTTCTTTGTTTTCCAGAACTCTTGCACATGGCAGGGTGTCTCACATCCATGACCTCCACCCTGCATGAACATCAGTAGTGTCTCCACAGTCACTGGGACAAACAAAAATGCCAAATACAATTCCAAAGACCCTGGGGAATGATAGTTCCCTGAGTCTACACACACCACCATATTGGTATTTCCAAAGTACAGCGTCCATACTCACTTCTCCCCATTTAAAAATCTTCAATGGATTTCCACGGACAGTGAGAGGAAGTCTAAAATCTTAAACTGTCTGTTAACTTCCCAGTTTTACTTCTCATTTCGGCTTTACTCAGATCTTGTGTTCAAGTCAGGTTGGACTCCATGCTAATTCTCAAATGCTCTCCGTACCTCTTTCCTGTAGGGCAGACCCTGCATTTCAATGGCTCTTTTCTTCATTTCTCTGACTCAACATCCCATAAGCCATCTCAGATGTAATTGGAATGTTAATTGCATCATGAAAACATTTCCAATTATGCCCTGTCCCCCAGAGAGAAGTGATCTTTCCTTATTCTGAACTCTTGTCTCCTTTGTACCCCATGCCGTGGTAACTGCAGAAGATGCTAGTCATGTCTGTTTCACTGCTGTGTTTCCCACCTCGCTTTCCTCAGGGCCTGCCATAAGGTAGCGCTCAATCAATACTTCTTGAAACAAACTGAATTGGAGGCACAATAAATCCTGCCATGCTGTTTTTGTTGGTAATAACTGACTTCTCACCTGCTATAAAATTTTCTGAAAAATGTCATGATGGGTTATAAATATTATAGTTCTGGAGCAGAGTTTTAACACCACATCCACTTACTGAAAGACACGTTTGTTCTTTCACTTTACATCATTAAATTCAGTTTTGTAGATAAGTTCATACATTTTTAACAATGCCTCACATGTTTGATCAGTTTTTCCTGCAAATCTAAAACAAGCTAAGAAGAAGAAATGAGCTACTGAGGCATGCGGGTTGGAGATGAAGACATGAACACACATTTCTAATGTGTCCTAGAAGCATGTTTTTGAAATTAAGTGGTATTTCCTTTAATGTTTGCCAATATTACTGCAAAAATATAGTCCGTTCGTTTTGGTGCCTCCAGTGATTTCGTATGGGTGCCTGCCTTTATGACGTGGGCTATGCTTCTGTATTTCTCTATGGCACTCCCCTTGGTTTTCACCTGGTCTGGGTGGCTCCTGGTTTTGCACAGGCACATGACCTGGGCTTTTCATTTGGTCCTACCATGTGGTAGCTCTTGGTCCACTTCTGTCTTCCTGGCTTCTGAGAACTTGCCAGGGCTTTTGCTGAGTGGGTTGTGTTCATTCTGCTCTCATGGCTCTGACTGGGATGAGTTTCATGCTGCTCTATCTCTGTTTTCCGAAGATGATACGTTCCTTGTGTACAGAAGCCTGTCTACTTTCTCTTGTGGTCCTTTACCACCCCTCCAACACCAACAGAGATCCACAAATGTTGTATTGTGAATGATCTAAGCCACCCTCCCGCTCCATCTAGGCACTGGCATGTTTCCTCTGTCAACAATTTGTGAAGCTGATGTGTGTGATGGTTAGGGTTTGGACAGATTTTTTTTCTGCCTCTGTATGAGGGCATATATCAACCTACACAAGAGAAATATGCAAACTATATGATGTAAAATTGAATAGATTTTAAAAATATCTTTGTGACAAATGTAAATGTTACCATTCTAGTAGAACTAATACGATCTTTCGATGTTAACATGAAAACGGGTTTATAAAAGCAGCAATCTATAGAAATCATAATTGATCTCCTGGGTTAATCAGCACTCTTTTGGCCAGAGAGAGGCACTTAATATATAGTACATGCTAAGTATAGTGATTTATAGTTTCCAACTTGTGAATTGGAAAGGTACTGAAGATAGTGTTCATTTTTCAGTTAGCATTTTGGGTAGCTGGACAAAGACAGCAGCCATTACAAGCTAGAGCATGATGGAATAAAATCCATTTATTGGGAAAATAATTTTGGCAATATAAGTATAATTAAATTAAATCTGATATTTTCTGTGATCTTTTAAAAGTCTAACAGTTCCATTTTAAAAGGAAAACCTCCAACTTGAATTATTTAGCTGTAAGTATTTTTGGAAATAATTTTTACAAAATAGCACCCAGTATTTGTTTATAAAGAAGTTGCCTGCTCGATGATCAGTGGTGTTGACAGAAACTGGAGACATGAGGACTAAATACTTATTTTTTTCCAAGCACAACTTGTGCTTTTAAAGAGACTTGGGGGATTTGAAAAGCAAAGAACACTTAATTTAACATTCGGTTAAAAATTTTTTTGACTAATTTCTTTAGTAATTACCTCAGATCAATATAACTAACACTTCGACTATGCTTACTATGAGACAGGCATAATTCTAAGTGATTTATGTCTTTTAACTTATTCAATCCTCAGAAAAGCCCTATGAGATAAGTACTATTTTTATTCCCACTTTATAGATGAGGAAACAGGCACGGAGAGGTTAAGTTGCTTGCCTGAAGTTACCAGATGCATGGCAAAATCAGCTTCAGACCAGGCCACTGAGCTTAGCGTTCATGTCTTCAGATCCACCCTTGCATGCCTTAGTAGCTCAAATCATAGCTCCACAGGATGTTTTTCGGTTGAAGTTTGCTTGCTGAATGCTGATGTTACAAGACATATTGAGCAATTATTTAAAATGTATGGAACTTTGGTGGTGGGCATTTAACAAAAGTCTGAGTAAAGCTGGTAAAGGCAAACAAATATAACATAAACGCATACAGATTCCTGGATCTTACCCCAGACCTGCAGACTTACAATCAGAGGGCAAGGGGCTAAATAAAGATAGGGAATGGGGAGATGGTGCTGGGGGGAGGATATCTAGTGCAATGTATTTCTAAAGAACTCAGGGGATTCCTTTCTCTACCAGTGTCTCCCAGAAGGGTATTGCTGCAATTTGGGCTGGGCTAGTTCTTTGTTTTCCAGAACTCTTGCACATGGCAGGGTGTCTCACATCTATGACCTCCATCCTGCATGAACATCAGTAGTCTCTCCACAGTCACTGGGACTGCACCATGGGAATGCATCACTGGGAATGCATCATGCATAGCTGAGAGTCAGTGATAGAAGGTCGGCATCTTTTTGAAAGCCCAGATTGGCTCCTTCTTCTTCTTTGTTTTTGTTTGTTTGAGACAGAGTCATACTCTGTTGCCCAGGCTGGAGTGCAATGGCAATCTCAGGTCACTGCAATCTCCACCTCCTGGTTTCAAGAAATTCTCCCGCCTCAGCCTCCCGAGTAGCTGGGATTACAGGTGCCCACCATGATACCCGGCTAATTTTTGTAGAGACGGGGTTTGACCATGTTGGCCAGGCTGGTCTTGAACTCCTGACCTCAGGTGATCTGCCCACATCAGCCTCTTAAAGTACTGGGATTGCAGGCATGAGCCCCTGCACCCAGCCCTGATTGGCTTCTTAAAAAGAGTTGAGTTGGCAGATGTGTCTGAATTTGTTGGGGAATGTATGTGGCAGCACAGAGCATCCAAGATAAATGTATAGCCTTTGGTTATGGTTCATCGTATTTTTTTTTTTGAGATGGAGTCTAACTTTATCGCCTAGGCTGGAGTGCAGTGGCGTGATCTTGGCTCACTGCAACCTCCACCTCCCAGGTTCAAGTGATTCTCCTGCCTCAGCCTTCTGAGTAGCTGGGATTACAGGTACCTGCCACCATGCCAAGCTAATTTTTGTGTGTTTAGTAGAGACGGGGTTTCACCATGTTGGTCAGGCTGGTCTCGAACTCCTGATCTCAAGTGATCCACCCGCCTCGGCCTCCCAAAGTGCTGGGATTACAGGTGTGAGCCACCGTGCCTAGCCAATTCATCATTTTTAATGGTAGGATTTTTCCTCTATTCCAGTTTCTTCTGATTCTTTTATTATAAATTGGAACTCTTGTTGTCATGGGGTTTATAAATATTAGCAACTGGGAAGAATGGCCTTTTCCTACCACCCTCTTTGCCCATATCTGAGAATACAGTTATCACCATGGCTGTTGAAGACTAAGAGTTTTAGCATTTATTTAGCACACTTGTCGTTACCAGTGCCATGGGTTACACCTGAGGTTGCAACTTTTTGAATTTTTACAATCAGAGCTTGGCGATGACCTTGAGCAGTAGGATATAAATAACTCCCACATGTGTAATTATTCCCTGAGGAATGTGTTTAGTCTGTGTTTTCAGAGATAACTGTTTATATCTTGACTGTTTATGTTCATCTTAGCTTAGTAGATGAAACTCCAGAACTTAGAGAAAGAGTATGCATGTTCTTAGAAGACAAAGAAATCATATGAATGGGTATCAGAAAATCTTGCCCTAACACTTTGTTTGTAACTGTTTGGTCACTCTTGGGAAAATAAACATTATCGTTTTTCACAGTAAGGTGATTTCTGTAAAATCACCTGCATTTAGAATGGCCAAGGATGTATAAGATAGAAGTGAAATAAAAATGAGGAACCACATGCTGTCCATTTGTGCAGTAACAGGGGAGTAAATGCTCACAATTTTACTGATTCTTCCCTCTGTGCTACGTATGCTGGGCTCTTATGGGTACACAAGTACAGCAGAGCAGGCTGTGTATGTGGGTCTCTGAGCTGTTCATTCATATATATTACCAAGGGTCTGCCACTGATTGGAAAGCACTTATAAGCTATAATAAGAACTTAGAAAAGACAGAGAAAATAAGAGTCCAGCAGAGAAAATCTTTGTTATTCACTGGAAAGATAATTAATCCTCCCCCAAATAAATCAAAGATTATACAGTCTCTTATTTTAATTTAGCCCTTTGGTTTGTGGAAGAGAAAAAAATGTACAATAATCATCTTTATTTTGGATAAGATAGCATAACGCTTCATTTATTTAGAAATGAATACTTGAGAATGTGCCAAGAACTGAGCTTTCCCCTTCTGATATTAACTTTTCCCCACCAATTACTGTTAATTGTTCTGTGAATTAAAGTCACATGAGCCCAGTGATATTTATGATGTCAATCATGATGCACTTGAGAAATTATTTCAAAATGCCAACAGAACAGATATGATGAAGAAAATCTATCTGGAACTTTGAAGTTGCAAAGATGGGGTAGAACCCAATTTTTATATTTATAGATGGAAAGAGGAATCTATCACAGGGGCTAGTTCTCATCTAGACTCACATTCTCCCAGCATCCACCCTCATGGGGCACTGCCTCTGGCTTGCAAACTGGTCATGAGGTTAAGGACCAATGCATCATCCCAAAGTCATATACCAGACACAGGTTATTTATACAAAGTTGCTGAAAAATGTTTAAGAGCATTTAGTTTAAATCACTTGTAAGTCATATGAAATGACTACCATGAAATTATTGCTAATACTAATTGCTAGATTGTTGTAAATTGGCAAATAGTTCTTAATCCTTTAGAGAAATTCAAAATTCAGAAGGTTTATGGATCTTGACACTTTGTTAAACTTAAATATGAATAAATAGCATGAGTCAGAAGAATCTTATCAGAAGCATTTATAAATAGTAAACATTAATATGGAGTTGTCATTTTACAGAAAAATTAACTTGAAGGACTCCTTTGAGTTTTGTATATACCTTCCAGGAAATGTGATTATTTATCCAATAATGTCAGTGTTCAGCTTAGTTGAACATGCGTTAGAAATAAAATGAGCTAGTCGGGCGCAGTGGCTCATGCCTGTAATCCCAGCACGTTGGGAGACTGAGGTGGGCAGATCAGCTGCGATAAGGAATTCAAGACCAGCCTGGCCAACATGGCAAAACCCCATCTCTACTAAAAATACAAAAATTAATGGGGAGTGGTGGCATGTGCCTGTACTCCCAGCTACTCAGGAGGCTGAGGCAGGAGACTTGCTTGAACCTGGGAGATGGAGATTGCAGTGAGCCAAGATTGCACCACTGCACTCCAGCCTGGGCAACAGAGCGAGACTCTGTCTCAAACAAATAAACAAACAAAAAATTAAGAAATAAAATGAGCTTTTGTCAGATTGTCAGATTGCATAAAATTGTATGAAGTTCTCAGGGAAAAAAGTTGAAAAGTTCATGTGTTTCTTTTTGTCAATAGATCAAAAAAGTTTAGTGTTTCAAATAAAAATTTGAAAGCTTAGAGTTTCAAATGAAAAATTGAAGTGGGTTCACAAAATAAAATTACTTTTGGTGTATCTTCGTTATAAATTCTACTTTCGGAAGTCTGTTTAATCTTTTAAGATATGTTTAGAACAAAAATGAGTAGAAGAAAAAAAGTTTTACTTCAGAAACTTTACAAATTTTTACCATCTGTGTCTTTTTGAAGCTGCAGTAGTAATTTAAAGGCAAACATATCTATTCTGTGTTTCCTTTTTCACTCTGTTGAGGTTTAAGATCATTTGCCAGATGTTGCTTTGAAATGTTCTGTAGACCTGAAAATGTATTCTGTGTTCTAGGCACTGTGCAGAATTCCAAATTAATATATAGCAATCCCTCAAGAACACATAATCTAAGTGAGGGCTTAAAACATGGGCACAAATAACCATAATACAAGTTAGGATGTGATTTAGATGTTGAAAGCGACTAATTGCCATTTCATATACATGTATCAGCTGTCATTTCTAAACATCTGTAATCACAGTAAAGAGCATTCGAATCATTCAATGCAAGATGAACACAGGATGCTGTAGGCACTATGTATGATGGCCTGTGCCTTCAGCTGAAGGGAAAAAACCTAGGTAGGATGTTATTTTATTTACATAGTAACTAAGCATTTGAATTTTGGCAAAACATCCAGTTGACAATGGTTGTGTTTTTACAGGGCAGTAGAGGAGAATTAGGACCAGTGGGATCCCCAGGCCTACCAGGTAAACTGGTAAGTAAAAAAGTTTCCTTTATTTGCCTTCTACGAAACACAATACATTTTTAAAAATAAGCAAAAGGAGAAAACAATTTACAATTGAATTACCTGTACTTGCTTTCTCTTGTTATATGAATATGTGGACAATGTAAAGCGGAAATTTCAAATTACAGGTAGGATACCCTCAGAGGGTGTTTTAATCCGTGTGGTTTGTAGCATCCATTTTTAAACCTGGAGAGATGTGAAGTGCTACATTTGGCCTCTCGTTGTTCTTGGAATGGCAGAAAACAGAGTGAATGGTGCCTTTTACTTCTTGTGCAGTGCTTGTTTACACAGCGAGAGGAGCAGCTGCGCCATTGCAGGCAGTGGGGGTGGCGGGGGCTTGACTGAAAGAGTCCACTGTTGCCAAGGAGTGCAAGGGGAACTGAGGACCTCAGGGTGGAGTGAAGGCTGGGAGAGCATTGGCCCCTCCCTCTTCTCCTGAGAATATGAAAGAGAGGCAAACCCAAGAAGCAGAGTTCAACCCACTGCAGCACGTTTATTTTAGACACAAGTCAACATACCCAAGGTTGTTTCTGCCTTCCATGCTTTCAGTGTTGCAGTGACAGTAACACCGGAGACTTTATGTTTGTTTTCCAGGGTTCTCTGGGTAGCCCCGGCCTCCCTGGCTTGCCCGGGCCCCCTGGACTTCCTGGAATGAAAGGTGACAGGGTAAGAGCTCCAGCACTCCAGAAAGTTCTTTATTTGGAAGAGTGATTTCTACCATGTTGAGAAACAAAGCTTGCTTTTGGCCCCGTGGAGAATTTTCTAGAATTTATCATAAAGAGCTATCAAGAAAGGTATTTTAAATTACTCAGAGTTGAGATTAAGAAGCAAAAAGTCTATTAATATAATTTAACAGAAGGAAAAAAAAAGCTGAGAAAAGTAAAAATTTCCGTTGTACACACTTTCTATTTAGCCCTCAATTTACATTTCTACTAGTCAAATTTTATGAGGATGTGATCAGAGAATGCCCCAAGTTCGAGAGACTCTTGGAAAATTGTGACCTAAGGTGGAAACTTATGTTTTGGTCCTGATTCTTGTTGGGTGGTGAGGAGTGGGAACGTCCTCTCCCATCACATTATCCGTACTTGTGCTTATCCGCCCACCCAATAAGGTTCACTTGAAATTATATAAACAGTTGAAAATACTGAAAAAGTATTATATTTTATTTATTACAGGGTGTAGTCGGTGAACCAGGTCCAAAGGGTGAACAGGTCAGTCCTATTATTTAATTGCTATAAAATGCAATGTTTGATATGCACCATTTCACAAGCAAGGGGGAATGGCTGGTTTATGGGTGTTAATAAAACCATGGAGGCTAACAGTTTTTCTCAATGTGTTCATAGTGAGTGAAACCTGGTGTTGAGTTTGGTCCGCGGCAATTGTTTACTATTTTAACAAGCTGGAGCTAATTATGGCTCTGCCTCCAGGACTGCACACTGTCTTTCCTTTGAGGAGGGTGGCTCTGTCTCTGGCTCACGGAACTGGTTTATTCATGTCTGATGGAGCCTTCCACAGCCACATTAGAATGTTTTAGGTTTTTCTTGATCAAGACCTCAGCAAATAAACTGTTTGAATGAATTAGACTCAGTCCTTTCTCTGGGTTCTTCTTCTACTGTGAAAGCCCTATTTCAAGGGCTAATGATAAAATTGTTGAATATGGTCATTTATCCTTCATTCTAGCTGAAACTCAGCCTCACCTTCTGGCTTTCCCCTAGGCTATTTTCTGATTGGGACTAGCCACTGACAGCTAGATTGGAAAGCCGCTGAGAGCATTTTGTATTTCTGCATGATTCTGGGAACACTGTGGGCACTTATGAATGCTTATCAATGTTGACTGGTTAAAATTGGGCAATGGGACTAAGAATTTTAAAATGTAACCTTTTATCTTAATTTTTAGGGTGCCTCTGGTGAAGAAGGTGAAACAGGAGAAAGAGGGGAACTTGTAAGATTTTTTTTTCTGGTTAATGATGAAGCCTTACTAATTTTGAACTGTGTTAGAAGTGTGTGTGTATATATATAAATCCTTATTTTCTGGACACTGTTACCCTCACTGCCTTCTTTAAAGGTTATGATGTTTCTCCTATCAGTTAACAAAAGTCTCCCAAGACTGCAGCCAAGATCAAGTAAAGCAGAGAGGAAACACTGCCAAATTGATAGATCTGGCTTTAAACTTTTGGAGAATAAAAGTGTTCCCTTACAGATGGTGAATCCTCTGTGGCTTTATGTCTAGACATTCAAGGTGATTCTTACATGACTATAGAAAGTCTATGAATAATAGTGCTCTATCATGAAAACAATATTCAAGTTTTATTATGGTTAGAAAGCTGTGACTCACAAATCTGACCGAAGGTAATCTCTTTAGTCTAAAACCCTCCGAAGAAGTGACCTCCATCTCCAGAGGAGGCTGCTGCCTAATCTCCAGGAAAGGAATACAAATGAGAACAAGTTCTCTCCACTGCTGGAGCTGCTTGGTTTGCAGGCTCATCATTATGGTTTTGACACAGACTAACGTGACTTAATGTAGAAGCTTATGTTTTGGTCTTTTGGGGTAGCGTAATAGATTTTACAGAAAACAGTTTCAGAGAGCTTGTAGGGCAGGAAAAAAATTCTAGTAATGTTTTATTCTTATTTTCAGGATTTAGAGCTAATATAAATGTAACATCTAAATTAGTCAAAGCTTCCCAGCTATTAAGTAAATTCATAAGAGGATTATTCCAGTTTCATCTTCTGTTAAAATTGTTCATTTTATAGGGTCACGTGATGTTTTAAATCATTGTTTTGTAGTGGAGGTAAGCTGATATGCCAACACGAGCTGAATTTATCTCTAGCATTAGTGGTAGGAAATTTTCAAAGTTTTTTTTTAAAAGCATAAAATCATGCATATTTGGTTTAGTAGACTTTTGGGGATGACTTTTAAATATTGTTTGAATTACAAAAATGAAGTCGTCAGGTCCAAATGTCTGTTGTGTTTTATAAGAGAATGCTATTTTGATATCTTTTGCCTTCCATATTTTTAATTCTCGACACCTAGCATTTGAGATCTGGATGAAACCCTGGAAAGCTCTGATTCAACCCTTTTATTTAACAGATAAATTAGCCAAAGGCTGGGAGGTTACATAGCTTACATAGCTTACAGAGAGTCACAGAGTTAAGCAGTAGAGCTGAGATCAGAATCCAAAATTGGAGTCTAATTTTTTTTTGCAGTGCCAGAGTTAATCTGTTCATGGTTTTCTATATTTTAGTAGCACAGTAACTTTTAATTTTTTTCAGGAAATTATCAAATGCGAACACGTTGTTCTAACATAAATTTCTTTTATTGATTTAGGGAGATATAGGATTACCTGGCCCAAAGGGATCTGTAAGTATGGTGAACAGTAATGGTATAAAAAATTAAAACTATTAATAAAGCTGTAGAATATATAATGCTCAGCTTTATGAAATCATTACATAACATTCAATTCTTTTTTTTTTTTTTTTTTTTTTTTTGAGACGGAGTCTCGCTCTGTCGCCCAGGCTGGAGTGCAATGGTGTGATCTAGGCTCACTGCAACCTCCACCTCCCAGGTTCAAGCGATTCCCCTGCCTTAGCCTCCCAAGTAGCTGGGATTACAGGCATGCACCACCATGCCTGGCTAATTTTTGTATTTTTAGTAGAGATGGGGTTTCACCATGTTGGTCAGACTGGTCTTGAATTCCTTACCTCAGGTGATCCACCCACCTCAACCTCCCAAAGTGCTGGGATTACAGGTGTGAGCCACCGCATCCAGCCAATATTCAACTCTTAAAGGACTTACTTTCATGGAAATAAATGTCTAAATTTGTACCTTACGTAATGGATTAATCCAATAGAAAAATACCTCACAACTGTGTAAATGGATTTACCTTTTGAACTAACTACTTGAAAGGAAGTGTTTTTTTTTTTCCATATTGTAAATGACTCAATAAGTGTTACATGGTAATACTCTAATGTCCTCTCCAAATGGGTCATTTTTAAAGAACTGACTTGTGCTTTTTGGTGTCAACAGTATAACTAAATTTCATTGGCAGTTATACCATTGAAAAATATTTCAGTAATTGTCTTGATCTCTGATGTGTTCTAGATGGGGAAGTAAGATAGAGGAATAATGCATAAGAAAATATAATAGAGAATTATTAGAAGTAGAAAATGATCTTGTTCATTTTTGTCATTTTATAGAAACTAAACTGGTGTCCTTAGAGATTAGATGTATTCAGAATTATAGAATCACTTAGTAGGAAACCTGAGATGACTTACTAATTGGAAATGAATTCACATCTAAAACCATTAGGAATTTAAGAAAGTATGAGGAGAAAAGATGAAGCTCAGATCTCAATCTCAAATGCCACTACCGCCAGCTTCCATCAGTTTCCAAGTCCTTCCTGTTTCTGGAATCTCCTCAACCCTTCTCTGTCTCTGTCCAACATATTATCCTTATGGCAGCCAATGTCATCTAGATTTTTAAAAAAGATAAAACCTCATCTCCTACATACCTAGAACTTCATCCATTTACAGTTCTTTTTACATGCTGTTTAACACCTTGTTCTGGTCTCCTCTTCCTCTTAGCTACCTCCTACTTAAGCATTTAGATCTATCCTCAGCTTCACTTTCTCCAGGAGGACCCAATCAGACTTGGCCACAATGCCTAGCCTTGGGCTGTTTGCAAACCGCAGAGATGAATATTATTACTTTGTATTAACTTACCTGCCTCTAAAAACCATGTCTCAAGTTTCAAGTAACATTTTTATGCCTAGGAATTTTTAATAGAAATGGTCGAAGGTTGAGAAAAATTTAGAGTAAACCTTGATTGAGTTTGGTAATAGAAATCCTACTTCACTATCTAGAAATAGTAATATTCAATAGAAAGAATTCAAGCTGTAACAAAAGAAAAGTTAATGAACCATGCAGTGACAAGAATAAATTAATTGCATTCAAATTTGCATATAATATTAGGAATTAGCCCTTGATTCATCTCCTTCCCCACCTGTGTCTTACCTGACACTGCCCAGGTAATATGAGTGAAATTGAAGTCTACTGTCCCAGAATCCGGGGAAATTGTTACTAACACAAAGACTTTCACTTTCTTCATTGATTTCAGCATAAACAAAGTTGTGAAGTAGGCAATGTCTGTAACCTGATTTCTGGTTCAGTATACCGTAACTCCTCAGTTGAGGAATTCTTTCCCAAAGACCCAGGGTCCTGGCCATATTGGCCCTTAATCTCTTCATTAGGAAGTTCCCATCTCGTATTGTAGCAGTATTTCAGTCACTACCAGCAGGATTATACACTCCATCGTGGTCTCCTTTGTTTTCTGTCAGTTCTTCAGTATATTTCTGAGTTCACTTTGTCGTCTCTTCCGGGTTCTTTTAGAAGTTGTTGGCCACGCACGGTGGCTGATGCCTGTAATCCCAGCACTTTGGGAGGCCGAGATGGGTGGATCATCCAAGGTCAGGAGTTTGAGACCAGCCTGGCCAACACGGAGAAACCTCATCTCTACTAAAAATACAAAAAATTAGCCAGGTGTGGTGGCACACACCTGTAATCCTAGCTACTTGGGAGGCTGAGGCAGGAGAATTGCTTGAACCTGGGAGGTGGAGGTTACAGTGAGCCAAGATCGCGCTATTGCACTCCAGCCTGGGCAACAAGAGCAAAACTCCATCTCAAATAAAAAAGAAAAAAAAAAAGAAGTTGTTACAGTTTTGCACCCTAGGCACCTGACAATGTTGCAGCCTTCTATATAGGATACCTTTTCCTTGTCCTGCTGACAGTCTTTCAGGAAGTCTTTTAAACCATAATTTCTTCATAGAAACTATTTTGGCAGGTTGACTTAGATGAATATCAATTTCTTTTGCATAAAGAGAAATTGGAAAAGCACATTTGCTGAGCTTTATTTGGATGTGTCTAGTAAAAGCATTGCTTCATCACCTTCTTCAGTTTAAAGTATTTGTTTGAAAGAGCCAGGTTTTCTAGATAAATGATGCATATGAAAAAGAAGCAGGATTAAATTGCTTTACAAACATTCATATCTTGAACACTAGCATTCCCTTGCTACCTTGTGTTCTTTTATCTTCTCATTCTTATTCTGAACAGCAGCAGTACATTAGAGCTATTCTGCCACAAATTCTACCAAAAGAATTTAACAAATTTTTAGTTTAACAAAAAGTGAATTAATTTGGTCTCTTTTAAAACATTTATCTTAGATGATTCTTTTGAATGCTTTTAGTGGTTTGCTTTCAGCTGAAAAAAAAAATCTAACTTGTATTTGCTTTTATGCTAAGGAAACACATGGTTTACTTTTAACTTCTTTAATATTTAGATTTTTTTAACTTCCTTGATACTTAGATAAGTTGTAACTTTCTTTGGTCAAGATTTTTTTTTTTTTTTTTGAGACGGAGTTTTGCTCTGTCACCCAGGCTGGAGTGCAGTGGCATGATCTGGGCTCACTGCAAACTCCGCCTCCCAGGTTCACATCATTCTCCTGCCTCAGCCTCCCGAGTAGCTGGAACTAAAGGCACCCACCACTACGCCCTGCTAATTTTTTGTATTTTTAGTAGAGACGGGGTTTCACCATGTTAGCCAGGATGGTCTGGATATCCTGACCTCGTGATCTGCCCGCCTCCGCCTCCCAAAGTGCTGGGATTACAGGCATGAGCCACCGCGCTCGGCCTGGTCAAGTATTTTAAATGCAGCATTTTAAATACGGTATTTTAAATGCATTGATTTAGTTTAGTAATTCCTGGATATACATGGCATCTTCACATTCTCTAAAAAAAAAAGTTATAAGGGCTAAATAACTTATGTTCTTGGAAATATCTTTATTTTATGCTTGCTGCATTATTGATATGCAAAGTAACATATTTTGTAGGAATGCAGGGGCTTTTGTGTAGCCAGAAAATGTTAACAAGCTTATTGAAAACTAAGTTACTCTTAGAGAGTGACTTAAAGTATGAAGTGACTTAAAGTATGTACTTTTTAAAAAAAGTAGTATTCCAATAAACATTTTGCAAGAATAACTATCCCCAAAAGAAAGATGATGATGATGATGATGATTATTATTATTATTTTGAGACAGAGTCTCACTAGGTTGCCCGGGCTGGAGTGCAGTGGCGCAATCTCTGCTCCCTGCAACCTCCATCTCCTGGGTTGAAGCGATTCTCCTGCCTCAGCTTCCCAAGTAGGTGGGACAACAGTTGTGCACCACCATGCCCGGCTAATTTTTGTATTTTTAGTAGAGATGGGGTTTCACCATATTGGCTTGCCTGGTTTCAAACTCCTGACCTTGTGATCCGCCCGCATCGGCCTCCCACAAGTGCTGGGATTATAAGTGTAAGCCACCGCACCCAGCCAAAAGAAAGATATTTTGAAAGTTAACTTGAACTAGATTTCTAAAGATGTGTAAGTTGTGTGGCATTATGTGTCTTCACCTTGCGGTGAAGGTTTTGTAACCTCTGAAAGTACACCTGTTAGGATGCAGAATGCAGGAAGCCCCAAATTTCATGTAAGTGTTTGTATGAGTATGAAGCAGGCACATTCTTTATGCTTAGCCCTCATTTGATAGTGTGCAATTGTGTTCCAGGCAGGTAATCCTGGGGAGCCTGGCTTGAGAGGGCCTGAGGGAAGTCGGGGGCTTCCTGGAGTGGAAGGACCAAGAGGACCACCTGGACCCCGGGGCGTGCAGGGAGAACAGGGTGCCACCGGCCTGCCTGGTGTCCAGGGCCCTCCGGTGAGTGGTGGGCAGCTTCTGTGGTTTCCCTTTGGAGGCTCCATCCCACTGCAGCAGGGCTGTTCTAGGCATCAGCTTCTCAGCAAGTTCTCTTGTAAATCCAGCCACCTGGCTCCTTGCAGAGTCTGTCAGTTTACAACTTAACAATGTTCTCTTTATGGTTTCGTGCATAATCTGCCTTTTTTCCTTTTCTATCACAGGGTAGAGCACCGACAGATCAGCACATTAAGCAGGTTTGCATGAGAGTCATACAAGGTAAATAAATCACAATGGTTTGACTTTTTCCACCGTCAACTCTTGTTTCTTAAGATTTTATTCTTGTAGATATGCAAGGGTAAACAAGGGTGACTTTTGGTATGCCTTAAATACAGGATATTTAGGGTAATATTAATGCCAATTGTGTTTTATCCAACTATTGGCATCCACAATAGTATATAGTCCATAGCCTCAATGTAAAATATTACCTTTCTGGTTATCCTGACTTTTTTTTTTTTTTGCCATGGGGGTTAATTTATAACAAAGTGCACATACACACATGCACACACACACACACACACACACACGCTTTTTTCCTTTGGAACACAAATTCTTAGTTGTCTCTCCCCTCCTTAAGACCCTACCACTTAGTGTGTACCTAGCACTGACCTAGGCTTTCTCTACATTTTGTGAGAAGTACATGACAGACTCCATGCCCATAAGAAGCATAAGGACATTATCTCCATTCATGTACACATATGTAAAAAAAAAAAATCAATAACCAGCATTTACCAAAATTATGACACATTTTCATACTTGTTAACCCTTGTCAAAATGTATCTGTAGCTATGGCAATTGTTATTTGTTTCAGAATTGGTCTAGTTACAAAAACACACAGAAAATGAAGATGTGCAAAAGCACCCTATCGCTGAGGAGTTCTGTCACATTGAAGCCTACAGTTCGTGATAGTATTCTGGTGTAGCTAACTTTGTCATGAAGAGATACTCTTTTGTATGCTCACTAGACAGTCTAGTTTGTCTAGGAGACTTGAGAAGTTTTCCAGAACCAAATGGGAACGAAACGTTCACTTCTATATTTGAAAAGCAATATAGGTCTCTTCATTGCAGACATTTTGTCCTGAACGTCTATTTTAGTTTTAAACATGACATATCTAAAAAATTATGATTCGATGCAAACTCTTCTTATACAAGCAAATTTAGAATACTCACATTTAAACAATTTAAAAATGTTGGGTAGAAATTTGTTTCCATTTCATTTTCTCCTTTACCCTCTAAGTTTAAAAAACATTACATGAGAATATTTCCCTTAGAATGTTTTCATGGGGAGATTTTCTTGTAGGCCATGGCTTTCGTGGGTGATTCAGAATCTATTTAATGGTTCCTGGAAAAGCCCACACAGTTATTAATTTTTAAGACTAACTCTGACCATTCCCAAGAAACAAGTCATTTTTAATGTTTGCTGTCTATTTCAAGCATGGAAAAAACTTCTGAGAAGGAGGATTTATAAGAAGCTGTGACTCCTGGGGATATTTCAGTTTATATAATATCTTCAAACTAAGAACATGAGGCGAGGTCTCAAATGGTGTCTGAATATTAGTTCTGGACGATGTCTTTGGCTTTTAAAAACTGTCTGGATATCTGCTTCCACCTATGTTAAGAAACTCATTTGTCTTCCCATCCTGGGTTTTCAGATACCCAGCTGGTATTCAGATGACATCCTTCCAGAACACCATTCACCCCAAAGCCTTAGTTGAAGATTTTTGTAAATCCCAGTCCCTGCTACCTCCATTCCTGCACCCTGACTCTGTCTCAGAACAACAGGACCAAATATATCCAGGGAGAGCTGCATCAAACAGCACCAGCAAAGCTTCCTGGCAGAAAGCCCACAGAGAAATTATCCAACTTTATTCATTTCTTACCACCAGTTTTGAAGATCTGGTGACACATTTAGAAAAAAGGCATCTGGAATACTTCTCTTTTCATTAGAATAACTTTTATGTTTCTGACACTTCTGGGTTGTTTTGTTTATTCTCTTTCAGAGCATTTTGCTGAGATGGCTGCTAGTCTTAAGCGTCCAGACTCGGGTGCCTCTGGGCTCCCAGGAAGGCCTGGTCCTCCTGGTCCCCCTGGCCCTCCTGGAGAGAATGGGTTCCCAGGCCAGATGGGAATGCGTGGCCTTCCGGGCGTTAAAGGGCCCCCTGGTGCCCTTGGTTTGAGGGGACCTAAAGGTAAGTCATCTTGCCCACATGGAACCGAAGAATACAACCTTTTTCAGATGTATAATCTGTATCAAGCTCAAGGAATTTATGTTTTACCAATTTCTGAATATCCAGTGAGATAAGATGTATTATTCTCTTTTACAACAGTGATGGTGAAGATTCAAAAACTGTTATATAATATTCTCTTGTCCCTGCTATACCACAACAGTAGACCAAATACTAGAATTAAAGTCCCGTGTCTTTTAGTACTGATCTTTTTCGATTACACTCTACCTCAATCATGGTTCAAAACAAAGATTATGGGATCTGGTAAACGATCATTCAGCATTTTTTTTTTTTTTTTTTTTTAAGACCCTGAAGTCATTGTCGAGCTCCTCTAACATGGCAGCCATCCTTAGGATGTTTGTATGTTATTTAAACTAACAAAATGTGTTAATAGGACATAAGAAAAACATGAATTGGAGCTTCCTCCTCTTTTAAAATATCACATTGGATATTTAGTTTTGATGGGATTTTTTTCAGCTCTGAAATACAATCTAATGTAATTTCTTCTTTAGTACGTAAGATAGTTTGTTCCTTCCATTTTTATTCAAAGCAAGTTAAGCCCTTGCATCCAGTATTTTGCAGAAGAACGGGGCTATGAGTGTGTTAGGTACTCAGCAGGACTGGTGGAAGAACTGGCTGCCTCATTTGGAGTCTCCCAGTTGAGGGGAGTAAGTACATCAGCTTGGAGTGTATATGCCCTAGATAATTTACAGAGAGGACTAAATAAAGTGAGTAGTTTCTATGTCATGATGAGTGACTGACATCTTTCTGGGGAACTTCAGAAAGACATGGCATCAGAAACAAGAGAGGGATTTTTGTTTTCTTTTTTTAAGTACTGCGGTGCTCCAATTAGGGATAAATATTATGGTATGAATGGTCAGAGGGCAAAGCAAGCTGCCTTTTTGGATCTATAAATGAATTGCTGATGCAGTTGGCTAACTAGACCTTCAGCTGGAACAATTTATTTAATTACATTTTTTTTTGGTGTGTTCAGAGCTTCATGTTGAAAAAAATGGGGTCTAACTGAGACCTCTTATAAGGCTGGCATGATTTCAAAGCTTTGGGAGGCTAGACAAAATCAAATAGAGTGCAGACTGAGGGTAGAGTTTTTCTTAAAGAGAACTGAGCACTTTCTTTGAAAGAGTCATGTACCTATTCATGTTTGTCCTGCTTTACTAGTTCAGGAGCTCATGCCTTAGGTGCTCTCTCTATGGTTAGTCTCAATTCACTCTGTAAATAATTTCTAAGAAACGCTACAGCCTTAGGTAGATTGTTGACTTCGTTGGATCTGTTGTGCTGAAGTGGCTGGATCATGATGACTCAGCCTTTCCTGAGTTCACTTTAGGGTAGTGGTTCTGAAAGAGCTGTCCCCGGAGCAGTGGTGTCACCAGGGACCTTGTTAGGAATGCAGATTCTCTGGTCCACGCTGGGTCCACTGAATCAGAAACTCTGGGCTTGAGGTCTAGCTGTCTAGTTTAACAGGCCCTCCTGGGGGTTCTGCGGCACCTGGTGTGGAGCAATTGCCCATTTTCCTACTGAAAGGGAATGCGTTATAGGGCCTACAGACATCACAGCCCTATTTTCTTTGGTTAACAGGAAGTCTCCTTGGGGCAGAGCTTAACTGTGTTTGAGCCAGTCACAGAACTCTTCTTTAAAAAATGAAAATGCCAATGTCACTAGCTAAGCTAGGACAGTCTAAAGCTGCCTTTGTCAGCCTTGCCTGCACACTGGAATTGCCTGAGGAGCTTAAAACCACTGATGTCTGGATCCCGTTCCCAGAGATTCTGATTTTGTTGGCCTGGGCTTTGGGATTTGAAAATATTCTCCAGGTATTTGACTGTGCAGCCAGGGTTGAGAACTACTGGAAACAATGGTGAATTGTTTGGGGAAGATTTAGCAACAGTGACTTCTGGCTAGGTTGGGTTGGGTTGGCTCTAGCAGATGAACCTCAGTTTGAAAGAAAGAAAACTAAATTTCTATATTTGGAACCTGGAAAATGTCTCTAGCACTAAGTTCATTCGTCAAGCATAGCTTGATCATATGAGGTATTTCCGCTTAATTTTTCTTCAGTATTCATGGCATAATCTATAACATGAAGTGATATAATTCTTTTCTCTTTTCCAAAGGATTTTTTTTCTCCCTACCCTCCTCCATCCCTTTCTCGTTATCAGATTCCTTTAAAGCAGTGTCTTCTCTCAGTTTAACTTTGGAGAATTTGGGGTGGAGGTAGGGAGGGGTAATTAAATTTTTAAAATCAATTAACACTGTCATACTTTTGGAAATGTATGATTTTAGGCAGCTGGATTCCATTCTTCTTGTCCCACTACATACATTAATAGTAGTATTTATTAGAAAACATATAGCTTTGTAATATCCAAAGGGTTACAGCTGAAATTTCCCTGAGAATAAACATTCCACCATTTTGAAACCTAAATTTTCAGTCAGTTAGAGGAGAGATGTATTTCAGTATTGCTTGTTGGCTTTTTTCCCCATCCCTGGTAAAGAAGGGATGGTATGAATCTTGCTCTACCATCTAGCCACTTTGAGAGCCTTTTTCCAGAGAAACTGCTACATAAATAACAAGCAAGTTTTATTATGAATGCTTGAACAGTTCAGCCTATGTCTTAGTCACTGTTTTTCTCCTAGAAAATACTCTGAAGAACACAGTAGAACATTTTCAACAGGAGCTAGTAGAAATATGCCTCAAACCATAGTCAAAGCTTAGGTTATGTCTATAATTTTTCTTTTTTTCACTGACATGCTTTATACAATACTATACAAAAATGTTAGGGCCCAGGCTCAAAACCTGAGAGATATCTAACTGGCCTTATGTTCACTTTGCTTGGTATTACATTGGTCTTTTGTGTCATAAATATTAGTTTAAAATATTCACAGTTTTGATTAATTTTAAGTCCCTTTGAGTAAGGCTGTATATTTTTAGATATTTTAGTGTGAATCAAACAGATACTACAATATGTAAATGAAGGTCTGAGAAAACACACGTGTCATGATTATGACTAACACCTTTCTCAGTGATAATCTGTTTACATGGAGATAGAGCATCAATGATAGCTCGTGAATAAATGAAATAAATAGCAACTATAGAGCAATGAGAATTTCTACTCATTTATAATGAGCTGTTTTTCTGCTCAAGCTGTGTATTTTTCTCTGTACATTATCTAAAGCTTATTTTACAAGCTCTTTATGCATATTTTTTGACTGAGGAGGATAACACAGCTGGACCTTTAGTTCGCAGAGCTGGTTTTTGTACATCTCAAAAGAAGACATGACCAGGGTTTGAAGTAGTAGATTAACCTTGTCGATGGAACCAACCTGTATGCCGGGTTTGCTGTGGCGTGGCAGTTTGCCAAATGGGCTCTGTTTTGGAGCTCATCTTAAAACTTGTTTTTCTCTGACTGATAACCAAAGACATAATCACAAGAAAGACACTGGTCTTATTCCTTGAAGCAACATTAAAAGTTGGTGTGGCTTCATGCTAAAATGTACAAACAAGTTTAGCTTTTACTATCAGTGTAAAAGCCACACTTTAATTTATAATGTTCATCTCATATCTTCAGAAAATGTGGCACATTTAGAGAGTCTGTTCTCATTTCCAGCCTCCAGAATTATAGTGATACGACACTCGAATTACCAAGTTAACAAGAATGCTTATGCCATTAGTTTATAAGATGTTAATTGTCATATCTTCCTAATATTCCATATTGATGATGAGTGTTAAAAAAAACTAGCTTATATAAATATGAGTTCAACCTGAGTTCAATCCTTCATAGTATTTATATAAATTTAAATTGTTTTGAAATGTGGTGAAATGTAGTTGATCATAAAAACATTCACGTAAAGACATTCACAGCTAAAATCAAAGTATGGTGACTAAATATTCACTTCAGAATTAGAGATCTTTGACTATCTGAGTGCAGACGGTTATACAGATATTTTTTCTATTTTTGTTGTGTACATGACTTTGTTTTTAAAATTAGAACAAATTTGACTTAATGTTGAGTGAGGCTAAGTTGATACAAATGTTTGGGAAAAAATGGTCTGGATAGAATTTATTGCAAGGTGCCATTGCATTTTCTAACAGCATAGTAGAATAATGATATACTACTGTACTACCGGAATAATGGGATAATGCCTTCAGCAAAGAGCAGCAGACGCCATTTAGGACCAGTTAACTAAGGCAACAACGCATTTTGTTAATGAGCCAAGTTGCTGGGTTTGGTATCTTTAGGGGCTGGGATAATTAATGCGACTTTGTTCCGTCCCCGCTAAATCCCCAATTTCAATCAACTGTCTTGTAAATGTCTTGCAAATTCACATGGTTCATTGCAATCCAAAGTATGTTCCCCATAAACAATGAGTCAGTAGTGAAATGTAGACACTGTGACAACACACTTTATGTTTTTAAGATTGATTAATTTATATTTCATAATACTAAATTTATACAGTTCCAAAAATTAACAACGTGTAAAAAAAGTATTTAGTGAAGTTTCTCTCCCATCCCTGCCTCCTATCTGCCTAATTTCCTTTCTCCTTCCCACTAGGTAATCAATACTATTCTTTTCTTACATATTCTTATAAGCAATTCTATATAAGGATACATGAATATGTATTTTTTCTACATCCTTTTAAAAATGAATCATATTGTTCTTTAGCAAGTGTTCTGGAACTTGCCTTTTTCACTGAACAGTATGACATGGAGACCATTCCAAAGAGCTTCCTGGCTATTTCTTCACAGCTGCATAGTGTTCTATTGTGTGGAAGTTCTGTAATGTATTTAACCTTTTCATAGACAGAGATTGTTTCCAACCTTCTGCTATTATAGCAGGGCCACAGTGAGCACCATTGTAGGTATTTCATTTTTGTATAAAATAGCAGCATACATTCCATCTCTATCTCTATGATAAATTCCTAGAAGTAGAACTGCTGGGTAAAAAATTTTGATAGCTATTGTCAAATTACCCTCCAATGGGATTGTCCAAATTTATACTCTTATCAGCAATTCATGACAGTGCATTTTCCACAGACTTGCTAGTATATGTTTAATTGAACTTTGGAATTTTTGCCGATCTTATAGATTAAAATAGCATCCTTTTTTTTTTTTTTAACAATTTGCATTTATTTTGTTATGAGAGTGAAGTCAGGGAATTTTTCATATTTTTAAGAGCCACTTTTACTTCCTTTTAGTGACATGCCTGCTCATGTATTTTGGTTATTTATTTATTTATTTTTTTTGCTGTTATGTTGTTGGCCTTTTTGTATTGATTTTAGGAACTTTACATATTTTGCATCTTAATAAAAAGGCCAATCTGAGGTCATAATTCTCCCTTGTTATCTTTTGATTCTTAACTTACACTTAAATACTTGATCCATTTGTATTTTATCCTGGAATAGGGTGTGAGGTATAGATCTAACTTTTCTTTACTCACTTCTTCCAATTCCATTTACTGAATTGTTCAACTTTTTCCCACTTTAAGACACCACCTTCATTATAAACCCAAATCCTGTATGTATTTGGGCCTACTTTTTGGGCTTTCTATTCTGTTTCACTGGTCTGTGTATTCAGAGACCAACACCACACATTTTAGTTGATTTAATATCTGGTCAAATTAATTCCCTTCATGTTGCTTTTCTTTATGGAGTTTTTGTGGCTTACTCTGGCTTATGTGTTTTCTATACAAACTTCAGGATCTTCTTTTCTGATAAAAAATGGGTTTGTATTTTTATTAAGATCATGATGAAAATTCAGCTTGGGGAGAACTGGCAACATTTTATGATGATGTCATTTCTATTTAAGAATGATTTTCAAGTCTTCTGGTGTCCTTTAGAAATGTTAAACCTTTTGTCATGTTGGACTTACCTATTTCTGATTAGTTTTATTCATCGTTGTTTAATATTTTAATTGTTATTATAAATGGTGTCTTTTTTACTATGTCTTATTACTGGTTGTGTTAATATATATAAAATTATAATTTCCATTTATTAATTTTGTACCCTGCTAGTTGACTGAATGCTACTGTTTGTAGTAGTTTTTGAGTTAACTTTCTAGAGTTTTAAGATATATATTCATATCTCCTGAAAATAGAGATAGTTTTAATTCCTCAAACCAAATGTTATATAATAGTGATAAAGTAGGTGTCTTTATATGGTTCTGATTGTAGTGGAACTAATTCTTGTGTTTTCCATTATGCATTATGCTACCTTTTGGGTTAAGATAGATTTATTTTTCATGTTTAGGAAGTGGCCATTGGTTCTTATTTTATTGAATGTTTTATCAAGAATGTGTGTTCAATTAAGTCAAATGTCATTCCAGTATCTGTGAATATAGTAATTTGATTTTCCCCCCTTAGATCTATTAATAGGATGAACTTGATGTTTGCCTTGCTGCATACTCACTACAATCTAGTTTATGGCAATTTCATGACCTTTTGGTTTCTGAATTTTAGATTTGCTTAAAGTTTAAAGATACGGAAGTTTATTTTTATAGATATGCAGAAAAATAACATTTCTTTAATGTAATGCAGGTGACTTGGGAGAAAAGGGGGAGCGTGGCCCTCCAGGAAGAGGTCCCAAAGGTTTGCCTGGAGCTGTAGGTCTCCCAGGTAAGTGTGCTGTATAGCTGAGAGGAGGAGGTAGCCAAATTGGTAGCAAGTCGACGGCCTGAATTGAATAAACTTTTAAAATAATTGTTATTTGATCACTTAAGCATATTAATTATTCAGAATGGCTAGCACAGATTTTTCAAGACCAGCTTTAGTAAAGAATGATCTGTAAATCATATCTGTATTCTTTGTCAGAAAATAGATATCAGGACTTGAAATACTAATTTCCTTAAATGCTTCAAGAAAAATAGTATCAAGGTCCAGGCACAATGCACTTGTTATAAAATTCTAAATACACTGGATCCTATCTATTTCTAAAGCAGGTGATAGTTTCCTTTTTTTTTTTTTTAATCTAAAATGCCAGAGCAGTAGGAAAATTAACCAGTTTTTAATCTCTTGCACAAAAAGTAACCAAAATTTTATTTTAAAAGCTCCCCTTTCAAACACCCTCCAAAACCCCACATCCACCAAAAAAAAAAAAAAAAAGAGAAAGAAAGAAAATACAAAACTGAACATTCCTACTCATAACCACTAAGAGCCACACGCAAGCCACACATCACAGCTGCGTCAACTGAGGTGACAGGGTAGCCCCTGTGTGAAGGGCCCAGAGTCTGTCACTGGGCCTTCTGTTCTCTTTATACACTGGCTACCCTGTCACCAGAGTCCAGGCTGGAACACACTCATCCCTTGAGAAATGACTTACAAGCCCAAGCACAGAGGCAGCATAGCAGGGCCAAAAGCCAGTTCAGTTTAAGGGCATGAATGATGCTCAACTTTCCAGCAAACGCTCTCTTATTGTGTCGAGGCAGTGGCTTAGGAAGGCCCCCAAAGCCCTCGGGGTCTGTTGCTGAGGAGAATTGAGATGATATTTGCTTCCACAATGGTTTGGGAAAACTTGGTTTAGGGAAGTTTAGGAAAAGAAATTACAATTTTCAAATTCTGCCAGAGGCTGATGTATTTAATCGCAGCTATAATTGTAGCCAAAAACATCATTGCTTTCCAATTATCCATTTCGTTGCTTCTGGGGATTGCGTTCTCATTAAAATATTTTTTTTAAAAACATGAATGTGTGGAGATAACTCAAACACTGCCTTTCTAAAACTGATTCATGGGCTCGTCAAAATGTTTTCACAAATTGATAAATTTTTATAATTGGAAATGGAAGATTTATGATTAGAAATGAAGGGAAAATCTGGCTTAAATGGGATTTAGAGAAGATTTTAATATGTGGTAAAGCTTGGATTCATTGATTGGTGTTTAGAGGAGAGGAAAAGGAAATAGAATTTACTAAAGATGTTTGTCTCTGTCTCCAGTGGTAGGAATAGGAAGTTTTGAGGCTGATAACATATTATCATCACAATTTACTTAACTATCTATATATTTATGAGATAGCCTAATAACTTCTTTTCTCATTTTATTGACAAATCACTTAACAGTTCTTGAACCAGTGACTTGCACTATTGGCAACATTTTCCTTCATTGAAAAAGTATTCTGGTTTCTAGGGATTCTTACTTTGAAAAAAATCTATTGGTAAGCCACATTTTCAATGTAAAGATGAGAAGACGGAGGAAGATCAGCTCCATGTGTGCCGTGTCCCAGACTGTCAGGAGCACATTATCTCCCACCTGCAGTAAACCATTTTCAGGAGCCGAGCTGATGGGGGCGCAAACGGGGTGCCCAGCCAGAGGGGCTTCCCTGATTGCTTTTTAGAACATCAGACCATCCATGTGTAAGCAAATTGTGAGGTAGGACAAGATCATCATCTGCAGCCCTCCCTGGGATCACTTATAAACAAAATGATTAATTTCAGCTGATCTTGGATTTGATCTTAAATCTGAATTGTTAAAACATTTTGTGCACTCCCTTTTCCAGGGGACTCTTAATACCTGTCCTTTCTGTTTTCCTTTTCCTTTCTTCCTTTGGTTGGTCCTTGCCCCTCTTTTCCTAGGATCACCTCCAAAATCGTCGCCCTCCTCTGATCTCTCCCCTCCTCTCACCTTGCTCTCTCCCCATCAACTCTGATTAACTCTGATTGTCTCCCATCCTTCTCATCTCCCAGCTTACTCTTCTTTCTTGATTTCCTTATTATGGTTACTCATGTCTCAACCTCGGTAGCCTTCCTTTTTTGGACTTTTGCTACCTTTTAATTGAGAGGATATCTGACACTGTTTAGTGAAAAATCTGAGTTCCAGATTATTTTTCAGGAATATAGGCTAACTTTCAAAAGCACAGATGCCAGAGAAGAGGGGTCTGCTGCTGGGTCGTTTTCTGCGCTTTGGCGCAGTGTCCTCATGTAGCACGCAGGTGAAAGCACCAGCTGAGGGCTTGGGTTTCAAGGTCGGCCCATGTTCTCTTGTTGACACCGTGCATATGCTCAAGTCAGTCAAGTTCCTGACAAGAGCTTTTTGGGTCATTCCTCCCTTAAAGCTAGTACCCGAAAGTGGGCTGTTTGAAGAGTGGCTTCTACAGTTCAGACATCCCAGGTTCACATTTTGACTCTGCCACTAACTAACTTTATGACATTGGGCATGTTACTTAGTTTCTCTGCACCTCAGTTCTCCCATTTGTAAAACAGTGATAACAAGGACACCTCTCTGATAGTGTATTTCTGAGAAATAAAGAAACTCAATCCATGTAAATTGCTTAAGACAGTTCCTGGCTACAGTAGGCGCTCAAGAAATGTTGGCTGTTGGTACTATTATTAATAAAGCAAGTCCACTTTTTGCTTTTTAAGGTGGATCAAGGAGAGCTGAGGGCAAAGCTGGGCCCCAGTTCAGCCCTTGCAGCTTTTTTCCCTTGCTCTTGATCAGCAGTAATATATTACTCTTCTCTAAATCAGCACCGCCCCGATGCCTCAGACTTTCTCTCCATGAAAGTCTACTTCAACTCCAAATCACAAATGCAAAGTACTGGGTAGCAGTACATCATTTCACTGGTTAATTGTCCACTGAGGCTAGACTGCTTTTTATTTCCTGGTAGAGCTTGAATGTGTCTAGGAATGTGATTTCTGATCTCTCACAAACATATTATTAATACGACTTTAAGGCCTGAGTGACCTTCAACCAGATTCTGTGCAGGGATTTGTCTGGAACCTTCTAGATAAATACACATCTTACCTAAAAGAAAGAGCCTAAAAAAAAAAGAAAGAACCTGCAGAATAGCATATTCTGCAACCTTCTTTGTTGTTTCTCTTGTTGGATTTGGGGCTCAAATCCTTCTGAATAAAAAAAAGATAGTTGGATCATTCTTTGTGCTAAGGCATTTAACATATTTTTTTACGATGTAACTAATATCATCATTTTCTATCAGTTGTTAGAGTTCCTGTATTCTTTCTGGACAGTTTTAATTCCCTGTCTCCCCTCTCCAATGCTCTATCTCTGTTTGTTCAGTGTTAAGTATTACATGCCCTGTAGAGACATAATGCTACATTGCTTGTTATGGAACACAGGTTATTATTATAACCATTACATTGATGATTATTTTGGCTACAGTGCTTTGTTGTTTAAAAAGTACACATACACAATCTAGTTTGTTTCTCACAGCCAGGAGTAGGCTGGGCAAATATTTAAGAAGTGCAGACACGGAGCCAGGCTGCCAGGGGCTTATGCACTATTCTTTTACCTCGAAGTGCTTCAGTTTCCTCTTCTGTGAATGGAAATCACCATGCCTACCTTGTATTTAGAGCATATATGCACATGTTAATACATGTAAAGCTCTTGGAACATGTAAAGCCTGGCATATGGCAAAGAGACACTCTGCAAATTTAACTATTATTATTGTTGCTTCCTTTTTCATAATATATTTGAGAAAATACAGACTCTTAAATTCATGTCCTGACAAAAGTCTCTCAGGTAATAAGAAGACATATTCATGCTTCCTGAGTCTGTGTTCACAAAGTGGACACAATGATTGGCTGTCTGTCCAATCATACGATCAGTTTTTCTTTGTAACCTAGACATGTGAATTGGGCATGTCCCATAACTGCTGGGTGTCTTGCTTCTTTCTCTGCCTCTCTTGCAGAGCTACGTGGATCACATTAGCAATCCCTGGAACTTTAGTCTCCCCCACCTTCAGTTTTGTGCCACAGGTCAGCCAGTGTTATTGCTTGGTTGGTTGTCTTATAGGTCTCTCTCTGTCTGCTGCCACCAAACTTGCCCATTTGGGACTAGTTCCTTGTCACTCTGAGGATTTTAAAGGAACATATTTATTAATAATAATGAGTCCTGATTTCCTCTTTGTGCACTCACTGGGGCAAAACATACATTAAATGACAAATCATTTGAATGTGAACACCAGGAAGGTGACTTGTGAGCTGAGATGCTTTTTGCCTCTTGGACATGGAAGTTATAGCTGGCTTTGTGCTGGGCTATACTAGATTGTAAGAATATTTGTTTTTCTTGTGCAAAGTCTGCAGAAAGGTGAGCTTTGCTTGAGACTATTGAGTGGAAAAATACACACGCACACATTCAGTTCTGGGCTAAGTTTTTCAGTACCTAATTATTCAATTTCCATTGCTGCAGCTGTTTTATTTGGTTGCTGGGCCTTACATAAACCAATTTACAATTCCTTAAACATATACTGCTTTGTCAAATACCACAACATTAAGCTCAAGAAATATAAGAAAGTCCTGGTACATACAAAAAGTCTACATAACCAGTAGATTAATTATGAAATACCCTATTTAATATGAAAATTATTCACTTTATTTTATTTTATTTTATTTTTTTACTGTATACACAGTCTCTTTTATTCCATAGCATGTATTAGGTAAGGGGCTGCCTCCAGAATGAGTCAGCCAGGATTGGCTTCTGTCAGTGTAACTTGACTACCCTCTAGTGGTGTTATAGAGAATGATATAGATACTCATTTCTTAAATAAATAATAATAATTTTTTAAAAAACCATGAAATGTTTGGCAGTAACATTTCTAAATATTTTATTTTAATTGACATATAATAGTTACACATATTTATGGGATACATAGTGATGTTTCAATGGAAATATTATATAATGACCAGATTAGGGTAATTAGTCTATCCATCATCTAAAAAATTTATCATTTCTTTGTATTGGGAACATTCAACATTTTTATAGGTCCTTGACATTTCAGAAAACCATGTAATCATGAGGCAGTTAGTGTAAGTATCACACACATGAGGCAGGCAGAGCAGAATAACACTTTAGATCCACACTTTCTCTTTCTAAAGAGTTACAAAGCAGTTGGTAGATACTCATTAATGCAGCTGCTGGACTAACCATTTATGCCCATTTTGTGAACAGTTATGAGTCAGCTTCACTTTTTGAGTGATGTGGACTGTGGACATAGTGTCACCCAACTGAGGCTCCCACATAGTTCAGAACATCCATGAGAGCAAAGGCCCTGATTCAGGACTCTCCAGAGCCTGACAATCTGCTATGTTAAGGCGGTTTTTTCTCTGGTATTTCTACAGGGCAAAACCTCAGAAAAATATCTTAGTTTCTTATGATCATTAGAGCTCTGCAAAAATCAATACTGCTCTTTGTTTTTGTGCCTCTGTCTACTTCCTGGTCAACTCAGGCCCAAGGAATTAAAAACAAACAAACACACACAAAACAATGACAACACACACACACACCCTGCCACACACCTCCACACCCTTCCACAGAGTTAAAAAATCAATAGGTGGGAAAATGCAGTTAGATTAGTGCAGTGGCTAAGGGTCTTCATTTCTAGCTATATGACTATGGACAATTATTTGATCTTCCTAACTCTCAGTTTATACATGAGAAAAATGGGCTCAGTAATGAGCATAGTGTATGGCACATGGAAACGAGAAAGCATTCTCATTAAGCGTTGGTGATGATGATGATGATGACATCATCCAAAGCTCCAAAGTGGTAAATTGCTGCATTTGGCAAAGGCAGAATTGGATGAGATGCACGTTTCATAAAATAAATCAAGGGTAGACAGGATGGCTTCATCAACCCTTCCCTCAGAGGATAAGCAGAAATTTGGAATAAACTCAGCAAGGTTAAAAAGAAAAAGAAAAACTTCTCCTGGAGTGTGTTGATGGGGAACCAAATGTGAAAATCTAAAAAGCTATCCTTCTGCTTTTTAATATTGTTGTGTGTATTAGAGAATGAATTCTCTTAAACTTAAGGTTTTTGGTTGGCTCTACAAATGTTGAAAAAAAATTGAATTGGTTGCTAACATTTAAACATTGGGAGATATTTATTTAAAAACTCAGCTTCCTGGCTTCTCTTGAAAATTATCAGAAGTTCTGGCAACACTGGCCTGTATTCGCCGATGGCAGCTGTTAGCTGGAGAAGAGCTGCTGCCTGCATCCACTTTCCAGCTCACCACAGGCCTCACTCCTCCCTTTGGTCTCCCCAACACTTATGTGGAATATTAGTGGCCAAATTTCATTGCATTTGTCCTTTACGTTTCCATCTCATAAAAACAGTGGGGGAATTTCTTAATCCAGGCTCATTTCTTTATCACATCAGGGATCAGCAAACTTTATTTGTGAAGGATCAGATTATTTGGCTATGGGCACCATATTGCAGCTACTCAACTCTGCCCTGGTATGCCAAAGCAGCCACAAACAATATGTAAACAAATGGCCATGGTTGTGTTCTAATAAAACTATTTACAAAACCAGGATTTAGCTCATGAGCTGAAGTTTGCCCACCCCTGGTCTAAGTGACCATCCCAGCCCCTGTGCTCATTTGGTTTTCTACCCCTTCTCTGGGCATTTCCTTCTCCTAAACTTGATTTGATTTTAAGGCACACCTGGTGTGTCTCAGTGGGGACATTCCTACTGATAAGGTGCATGAAAATCAGATTTAGATCTGGCTCATCGTTTAAACCTTAAAAAAAACCAACTTCACCTTTAACTGCATCTGGTGTTAAGGATCTTAACAGGTGCTGCTGAAGGCATCGTTCTGCTACAGCTTTATCTACAGATGCTGGGGATTAGGGAGACGCTTTCTCAGGGGCCTCATCATTAAAAGAAAACACATAATGGTTTGCTTCATACTAACTAGGTATAGTTGAATGAAAGTGTATGGGGTAAATTAGGAAAAATGACTTATATCTCTGTTTATCTATAGCTTCGAGATGGATAATTATTCAAAGATAATTATTCCCCCTTAAAACTTATTAATATATTGCCCTATGACATTGCTTTGTGTGGATCGAAGTGTATGCAGCAGAGGAAGAATGAGATGTCACGTAAAACGAGATCTCTGACCTACCTTCTTTCTAAAAGTATGTGAGATATATGTAATAAGACCACTGAATAAGACCATATTACTATAGTAAGACCAACAAAAGACATGTAATAAGACTACTCAAATAGAAAAAGAAAAGTAAAAACCACAGAGAAAGAAGGAAAGTAACCAAATATAAGCAAATATGTAGTTGAACATGTGGATTTGGCTTCCAGCTTTTTGGCTGAAAGACCAAGTTAAGATGGCTGAGATGGAATGAAGATCCCTATATTATTTTGGCATACACAATTTGTTTTACACGATTTCTTATCACCACTTTTGCAATGATTGTGTGAAAGTGCTGCTGATGCATTGGGGTAAACATTCAGCAGACATTCCTCTTTGTTATGGGGTGCTGTGCCTCAGAGAGTGTGCCCCATTGAGGGCAACGTACAACCCTTAAACACGACAAAAGGAAGACAAGCAAGAAATGTCCCCCAAAGAACCTGCTATGGCAAAGTTCATGTTGGGGTCACCCTTCATGAGAAAAATATCATGAAATTTTGTAGGGCACATGGCACAGCCTTCTAAAAGATATTAATCAATAATATCTCAGTAATTATAATAATAGCCCCTATTTATCAGGTGCTTTCAATTGTAGAATTTAATTGTTGTTATTATTATTTTTATTTTTAAGATGAGGTCTTGTTCTGTCGCCCAGGCTGGAGTGCAGTGGCGTGATCTCGGCTCACTGCAATCTCTGCCTCCTGGATACAAGTAATTCTCCTGCCTCAGCCTCCCAAGTAGGTGGGACTACAGGCATACACCACCACACCTGGCTGATTTTTGTATTTTTAGTAGAGATGGGGTTTCACCATGTTGGCCAGGCTGGTCTTGAACTCCTGACCTCAGGTGATCCGCCCACCTTGGCCTCCCAAAGTGCTGGGATTACAGGCGTGAGCCACTGCACCTGGCCTGAATTTAATTATTAAGAAGACATTATAGCATCTTGTAGATGAAGAAACTGAGAGATTAGTGACTTGCTAATGTCACATTATTCATAAATGATAGGGCTAGAATGTAAAGCTATTTGTCTCTAAAACCTGTGTTTTTAACCACTAAACTATACTTCTCCCTGCCCAGATGTTGCTCAACTATTAGAAGTAAGGAATACTGCTACTTGCATTCAAAAGAAATACAATGTGAGCCACAAATGTGAGTTGCATGTATGATTTTAAATCAAGTGGCCACATGAAAAAGGTAAAAATAATCAGGTGACATTAGTTTTAACAATATAGTTTACTTAACCCACTGTGTGCAAAAGATCATTTCATCATGTAATAGGCACAAAACTTTTTAATGAACTATTTTCCATTTTTTTTCATATGAAGTCTTTAAAATCCAGGTGTGTTTGATACTTAGTTCATCTCCATTTGGCCTCATCACATTTCAGCGCTCAACAGACACCTATGGCTGGAGGCTACCATGGTGCACAGTGCCGCTCTACTGATGGAAATGTGGGTTAGAGACACTAAGGTCTCTTTCTACTTTTTATTTCCAAGGAAACCCAAGTCCAAGGAAGGGATCTTATTATCATCATCATCATCATCTTCATCACCAATCATCACCAGTCATCATCCATCATTTCCAAAAGCGTTTGTTAAGCCCCTTATCTGAGCACTGCTGAGCTGTGAGGGTCCAGTGCCCTCTGCCAGTTTGCATTGATGAGGATTCTCCTGCTCACATGTGCAATCTTCTGTGTGTTTCAGGTGACCCAGGCCCTGCCAGCTATGGGAGAAATGGCCGAGACGGTGAACGAGGCCCCCCCGGGGTGGCAGGAATTCCTGGCGTGCCTGGACCCCCGGGACCTCCTGGGCTTCCCGGTTTCTGTGAGCCAGCCTCCTGCACCATGCAGGCTGGTCAGCGAGCATTTATCAAAGGCCCTGACCCGTGAAAGGCCTTGTGCTGCATGACTCTCTGCATGAACCACGCCTGGTGAAGGAGCTTGGGGGAGAAACACCACCCAAAGCTGGGGCAAAGATGATTACCTTCAGCATGATTACAATGTATTACCTTCAGCATGATTACGGAAGTCCTACTTGACAATCACATTTAGAAGAACGGTACTATTCAGTAAGTTCCCTTTCCTTTCTCTTGGAGGAAACTCAACAGAGTCATACGTTAAAACAAAAAAAAAAAAAAAAAAAAAGAAAACCAAACACCTCCTTTGAGTCAATTTATACTCCTGTTCCCAGGATCTTGAGCTTTAGTGTGCTATACCTATGTGTCTTACGTGGGCCACTGTGCCAATAAACAAAAACAACTGTTTGGTTTACCTCAGTTGCAGTAGTTATTTTCATTTAGATGTTGTTCTCAGATTATTGTTTCAGTTATATAGAGGATTACTAGACTAGTTATGAAAAAAACCCCACTACATTCAATAGAATTGGTGCTTAAAATCCCATTGATGTGCTGTCTCTGGAGTAAGAAAGGGCTACATCGCCCAAAATGATTTCCTTATGTCACGTATTGGTTTTCTTCTTCAGCCTGAACTTTTGTAGAACTGTATGTACTGTACCCCAAACCTGTTAATATTTTGACTGCTTCTATGTGAAAGCAAAGAAATAATTTTAATACTCTGGCATTCACAAATTTTATTGATGAGATTATTTATTTTAAAGGTTTGAGGTAACATCTCTGGTTGTACCAAAGAAGAAATAAATATGGTTTCTTAATCTCTTGCATGTTTTCTTATAAATAATCATGTTCAATGAAAAGAAGCTACTGAGCTTATTTAGATACATTAAACATTACTTAACTACTGGTTCTATAGGTGTATGTTTATAATATTAGTGTTTTTTCCACATAGAGTAATTAAAAAAGCTGTTCCACAGAGGGTGTTACCCTGTGAGAGATGTGTGTGTGTGTGTGTCTGTGTTTGTGTTTTAGTGTGTATGGGGAGAGCTCCATGGACCTTTTTGAAATGTTAATTCCCTAGCAAGATGTGCAGCTGCATATGCATCTATATTTTTGTATAGTAGTTCAGAGATTTCGTGGACTCTTTTAAGTCTAGCTTTGCTTTATTTCTAGGTTAAGAATCACTGTGTTCATTCCAATGGTTTGTTAGCTCCCTCCTACTCAGAACTTTATTGCAAACATGATTTATGTTTCACCATTTCTTGTAAATTTTATAAAGGCAGCTCAGCTAAAGCACTGTATTCTTAACAAGTATTTCCTGACCACTTAAGCACTTTGTTATTATTTATGTAATCATATTGACTTGCTGTTTCATTAACATCTACTTAACTATCCAACAGACTTAATATATTCATTTTATATCACAGAGCCTATGAGTAACCTGTGCTGGGGCATAGAACAATAGCTTAACATAGTATCTTTAGTTTATGGAACTAAATTCTGTCAAGTCAAAGGAGAGTGAGCCCTAATATAATACTTATATTTTTTTCTCATGTGTATTTTATACATTTAAAAATTCTAGTCCTAGTTGTTTGGTTAAATCAATCATTATGTAATCTGTATTTGGATTTCTTTAAAACTGCTTACAGCATCTAGTTTTATGCTTCTAGCATGAATTTTGCTTAAGAAGATTCTTTGCCATATAGATCAGTGCTATTTACATAGACTGAAAAAATGTTCTTTCCCTTTTTTCGAACATTATTTTTGGAAATAAAGGTCTCTGTTATAGCTCCCTAAAACAATACAAAAAAAGGCAAACTTTTTCAGGAGCTGTGACACATAATGAAATAAATGCATAGAAATTATCCTTTCACCAAAGTGCTTTTATTTTAAATAGAGTGACATAATCAAATACAATAAAAGAAAAATTAGATAATCAAACGTTTCTAAGTTTTATAATATTCATAAGACAATTAAAAAAATAAAATGTCAAAGAACAGTTCACTCAGCTGTTCTACAAACCTGGTTATGTAAAGGTTGTACAACAAGCTCCACAGATACAGTCAGCAACATTGGAAACAACCACTTAGAAACAGATGATGCAAAACTACCACATTCCAAATGGCAGGAATGATTCGTTATAAATTTCAGTTAAGTGAAGTAGTTTACAGAAGCAGAAGATACTTAGAAATTGTAAGGAAAAGCCCCCAGCAAATTCTCTCCATGAAAGAGAGTTGATAAATGTTGAATCTGACCAAGTATGTCTCTCTAGCAAAATAGAAGTCTCAAATCCTCTCTGAGATATTTTTGAAAGTTGGACGAAGTGGCAACTAGAGCATTCACTGAGAGAGGAGAGTGTAAATAAATAAAGTTGGTTCGAACCTGGCATGTTAATGAAGGGCAAATGATTCCTGATTTATTTCTAGCCAGTGCTTCTATGGCAGTATGATATGATTTTCAACCCAAATATCTGACATGTTGGTTAAGAACTATGCAAATCACTTCCTAGGCTGATTGAGCACATAAATTCACTGGCATGGTTTTGGGTAATTGGCTTCTGCACAGAAGAAGAGTATGAATGAGTAGTCATATCAGGATAGGTGATTGATTTGATTATTTAGATACTTTATATTTCAAGCTGACTGAACCAAGATTGTTGTTCTTAAACATCATTAGTAAAATCTGATTTGCCACCTGAAATAAGCTTAATATAAATTCTTGCTTTAGAAGGTCACCTGTATTGTATTTTTAAAATTTTTTGGTGATTATAGTGTTTCTGAGATATAGTCTCTGGGTTTAAAAGTAAACCAAGGCCGGGCATGGTGGCTCACACCTGTAATCCCAACACTTTGAAAGGCCAAGGTGGGAAGATAGCTTGAACCCAGGAGTTCCAGACCAGCCTGGGCAAGATGGTGAGTCTCCTATCTCTACAAAAATAAAAACAAATTAAAACATTAGCCAGGCATGGTAGTGAGCGCCTGAAGTCCCAACTACTTGGGAGGCTGAGGTTGGAGGATCACTTGAGACCAGGAGTTTGAAGCCATGGTTAGCTATGATCACGCCACTGCACTCTAGCCTGGGCGACAGAACAAGACCCTGTCTCTAAAAAAACTAAGTAAATCAACATAGGTGGAAAACCAATAGAAATACTGTTTTCCAAATATCAAGAAAATTGCTTTAAAATATTTGCTGGTAGCCTGACAAAAGAAGTGAAAACTCAGTATTAAGGAAAAAATACTAGCAAACTTGCAATCTTGCTGTTTATAGAGGGGTGACTGACATAAATGATTTTAATTATCTTTTTTAAAAAGAATACTTGTGTTCAATAAACATAGGTCAAGTCATTTTGTACAAAGTAAAATAAATACTTTTCAATTGTGCAGTCTTCTTTAGTGAGTTGTGATCCAGGGCATGACAGTATAAAGTACCTATGACTGAGGAACTATTAAGTCAAAATGGGCTGACTGTAGTAATGCCTGTCTGTAAATACACATGCTCAAGTGCTCTTTGAATGATCAACGAGAGGAAGTGTAACATATTTGATTGATCTGGCTATCAGGAAGAGGATGCTGCTAACTGAAAATTACTTTTAGTTTTAATAAATGGTAATTCATGCTAACTCTCTGCTTAACATGCCTTCACAAATTACTCTTGACTCCAAGTTATCAAAACATAGCTGGAGAGAGAACAAGTGAGGGAAACTGTCTCCAACAAACTACCTCTCTTTCTGAGATATATTTGAAATTTCATTTTGTCTCTAAGTTGAAAATATGTGTGTGAAAAGACAACAATATTCTTTAGAGCACCTAGTTAATTTATCCAAAGGGGGCCTGAAGATAGGAATAGTTAAGAACTATGTAAGTTATTACCCGGTATAAGTAAACATATAAATCCTCTGGCACGTTTTGATGTAATTAATTTCTGTTAAGAAAACCTGCTATGTATTTAACTACTTATTGCCTATTGCCTTATCACTCATGGTGTAAAAGCTTCTATGGATGAGAAAAGTTAATTGTGTTATTTCTTATCTCCCTCAGGGACCTCTATAGCAAAAAGTCTCATATGATTTTAGTGAGATGATCACTCTGGGGGTCAAAAGTCCCAAAGGACTGCCCGTTTTCTGGTTTTTGTTTCTGTTTATAATTCTCATCTGAAATAATTAGACTAGGGTTTTTATGAACTAGGCTTTTATAAACCCAGGGAGATGGGTGACAAACTTGATTATTTCAAGCTGAGCTTGAAAGCTTATTCATGTGACAAAGAAAACTGTAATGATGGTATAAACATGAACCCTGCAATAGACCAATTAAGGTTCCTTGGACACCTGTGGGGCTCTTGGTTAGCCAAGAGTGCTTCTGGAGCATCCCCATGGTTGACACCAAACAGAACGGACTGAAGTGTGGAGCTTCAGCCATGGCAAGTGATGAAGAGTAGATATGGCCTTAATAATTGCACCTTAAATTTCCTTGACATAGGGTCAGATCCTTTATTGCTGAGACAGGTGACAAGCTCATTATGCACAATGAACACGTAGGAATCAAGGCCTCAAAGCATTACGCCCATGTGGGATTTTGAATAAAACTAGTGCCATTGCACTTAACATGAGTATATTCAATTAAACCTTAAAGAGTTTGATGAGGTAAGATAGCAAACAAAATGGGGGAAAACACACCCTAAATGTTATTTAAAAATAAATAGTTGTAAAATAAAAAGTTGTAAAATAGCCAGCATCTTTACTTACACCCAGAAGCTTAGTATGGTCACACAATACACACACTTCTGATGAACTTAAGTCTTATTTACCCCCTCATTTAGTGAAGCCTCCCACTTTATTAGTATTCACTTTTGACAAATTCATGAAGCAAATAACTAACTCCTCCAGTTGTACCACATCACTCACTACTGGATCTGAACTTGCAGTTTTTTTTTTCCACTTAGATTTTCTTAGACTTAGCTTTGGTCTTATAAGCTTGTCTTATCTTTCAGGCAAAGTTTTGCTGTGCTGGGTCTACTTGTCTGGATGAGTTTTCTCTGTGTTCACTTGGTTCTTCATCCAATTTAACCAAATTGATCAGTTACTCTAGCATGATTTTGTTGAGTAAAACGTTTGAATTTTAGCTCCAGGTATGCCACACAATAAAAACGATGACACTCATTTGTCCTATTGCCTGAGACTTTTAGTAGTTGAACAACTTTAACATAATTAATGCTACCTTTACCAGCCAACTAATAAATCAACACTATTCAACATTCTAAGACACTTTGAATTATGTAGGCATACAAGATACAAATTCAATTCTCTTCTGCATCTCCTCCTCTTCAAAGCCTGCATAATCTATGTGAGCAGAGATGGTACAAAAGGGGGATGGTACAAAAATGCGTCAACACTCAAATATTAAGAAACAACGCTGGGAAACTGTGACAGTAAACACTTGTGTGTCTTTAGAAGGTGGATACAGACAAATGTGAAAAATAACTTAAGAACAAAAGCAATGGACAAATCTGCAAAACTCTTCTGAGTATCCATTAAAACAACTTCAGCAAAACACTTAACTGAGAAATTCCCAATCCCAGTGTATTATTAGTCTTAGGAAAATAAAAATGGTACTTTAAAAAAAAAAAAAAGGTATTCCTAATCGTACTTTTGTAAACAGTGATGTATTCTAGAAAAATATAAACATTATACAAATCTAATTGTAAAATTTTAAGTACACTGAACAATATAGAGTTTAGACATTGTGTAGTTTTATAAATTATCTACTTCTTGTGATAAGCTAAATCTTTTTTCTTGTCTGTTGAAAGAGTATCTGTCCTGTCTAAAAGGTAGGATAATTATTTAGTTGTCTTCATATTGATCACTAAAATATGAAAGTGGTGTATAAACAGTTATGAATAGTTAATCTG